CATTATATTTCAAGTTACTACTTTGAAGAATATGGTTTAAGCCAATCGACTTGACAGGAACATCTTTGTGCAGAGAAAAGAGGGTTCACATAGCAGGCCTGACACAGTTAGAAAGCCCTGCACGTTTGCTCCCTGGCTTGTGTCTCAACTTAGATTTGAGAGGTCTCTCCCAGTGCCCTGACTGGTAAGAAGAGTGGCTCACAGAGTGCCTAAGCGGTACAAACAACACCGTTTGTAGAGACTACCTGCTTCCCTTGGGGCACCTGGAATTTTGGCACATGCTCGGCAGAGGCTGCCTGCCTGACTGGCCCCAAATGAAAACCATGGGCACTGAGTCACCCGTGAGTTTCCCTAGTGCACAACATTTCATGCGTGCTGTCACACAATTCACTGTTTGAGGAATGAAGCACATCCTGTGTGATCTCACTGGGAGAAGATCCTTGTTCCTAGAAGCTAGTGCCTGGTTTCCTCCAGACTTCTGCCCATGCACCCTTCCCTCTCCTGGTTTTGCTCTGTAGCCTTTCGCTGTAATAAATCACAGCTGTCAGTTAACTGTATGCTGAGTCCTGAAAGTCCTCCTAGAGAATTACTGAACTCAGGCTGGCGGAACCCAAAACAATGTTATTATTGTACATATAATTAAATTCTATTTCTCTGTGACAGTCTACATGTGTACATTATAGCACTCAATTATACTTCTTTCTTAATAAAAGCCAGAAATAGTCATATTTACTCATAACATTAAGTGAATGAAGGCTCTGTGCTTAATATAGAAGACAAAGGATAAATGTTAAGGGCCAACTATGGAAAGGCTATACCCACTATTGGTCATTTCCACAGAGCTGATACAATTTGGGACCAAGACTCTGTAACCAGGATCACCATTATGCTTTCTAAGGAGCCTCAGAAAGAAGCCTTCACCTCACCACTCCTCATCACCCCTCCCTGCCCTCCACCCCAAGAAAAAGATGGGATGCAGCTTAGGCAGTACTAAGGGGGGAAATTACATTATAGCATTAGACGCTTTATCTAAAAAAAAAGAGAAAAGTCTCAGGTCAGTAGTATTTTTTCTTTTTTCTTTTTTTTTAATTTTAATCATTGTTCAAGTACAAAAAGTCAGTAGTATTAAACATCTAAAGAAGCTAGAAAAAAAGAGAGAAAGTTAAGCCCAAGACAAGCAAGAGAAAGGAAAGAATAAAAATAAGAGCAGAAATCAATGCAATTAAAATAAAAAAGAATAGAGGAAAAAATCAATATGAAAGCCCATTCTTTGACAATATCAATAAGTTAATAGACCTATAGCAGACTAATAAAATATAATAGCATAATCAAAAATTAAGTGAGGCACTATATAATGCTCTTTATATGTTTATCTTTTTCTTACATAATCTTGAAAACAACATTTCCTGGTAGGTAATAGTACACCTATTTTTTAAAGATGAGAAAACTAAGATTTATAGATTTTGGTTAATTTGCTCAAGGTTGCATAGCTGGTAAAATCTTGAACCAAAGTTTGTCTGACCTAAACCTTAACCATCATATTACTCCAACTCTGAATGCCCGTGAAGAGGATACAAGGGTGTCCATTCAGACCCCCACTTTAGGAGTAACTAACTTTTTTTCCAGCTGCTTAGGAGTATCTGCTGCTGACAGGTCACAGCTACATCCTTCACTGGAAACTGATCTGAGCCTGCACAGAACTGCCTCCCAAAAAGGATTCAAAGGAAAAGATGCCTTTTTCAATTTGGGACAATTGCAAAGCTATCTTAGTTCCAGAGATCCTGCTAGGATATTTGAGGCTTTAGTTGCAACTGCATTGCAGGTCAGTTTCTCCCTGTGCCCAGACCTGCCTTCCTTAATTCTTTACAGATAAATCTCCCTAAGGTGTTCCTTAATAAACCTCTGCATTCAATTCTTTGTCTCTGAGTTTGCTTCCAGAGGAAGCAAATAAGACACATCCTTTTCATATTAATGCATGCTTTTCTTTCAGAATTTTTTTTATTGTTGTTCAAGTATAGTTGTCTCCACTTTCACCCCACCATGCCACCTGCCCCACCCATCCCCACCTCCCACCCTCAAACCTACCCCCTTTGGCTATGTCCATGTGTCCTTTATACATGTTCCTTGATGACCTTTACCCCCTTTTTCCCCATTATCCCTCCCCCTCCTTCCCTCTGGTTACTGTCAGTTTGTTCTTTATTTCAGTGTCTCTGGTTGTATTTTGCTTGCTTGTTTTTTTTTTTTGTTTTTTTTGTTTTTGCTGTTGTTGATTAGGTTCCACTTACAGGTGAGATCATACAGTATTTGTCTTTCACCAACTGGCTTATTTCACTTAGCATAACACTCTCCAGCTCCATCCATGCTGTCTCGAAGGGTAGGAGCTCCTTCTTTCTTTCTGCTGCATAGTATTCCATTGTGTAAATGCACCATAGTTTTTTTTATCCACTCATTTACTTGTGGGCACTTAGTTTGCTTTCAGCACTTAGCTATTGTAAATTGTGCTGCTGTGAACATTGGGATGATGTGGACCCTGGCTCGTGGGATCTGGCACATTGTGGATGAGACACAAGACAAATTCACATGGACTGTTGAGTCCTGTGAATATTACAGAACGGGGGGGGGGCGGCAAAAGCAATATACTATTACTGAAAGGAACCGCGTGATTCTCCCCTGCACTGGCTGCCACGTCTTGGTTTAAATCCCCACACCAATCTTCATCTGCAGCCCCATTTGTGACTCCTCCCACAATTGGCTACACTTGCCAGCACTCTCATATCCTTCCAACTTGACTGGTCTGCCATAGTGAGTCTGGGAAGGCGTGGCCTCATGTCATCGAACCAATCATCTCCAAGCTCTCATGCAGGTGCTGTAACTTGGGGGAACTTCCCCCTCACAGTTATGTCTTGGGGGGGAACTTACTTCCATTTCCCTGGCTTGGAGCATGGCCACAGCTATTTAACATATCTATGTAACCAGTCAAAGGTTATAGATATGTTAAATGACCACACCAGAGGTTAGCTTCAAAGCTGTTGCTATGCAAAACAGATCTCAATGGCCCTGCTCCATTTGTCCCTTCCCCCAACCCACACCTGTGGGGGCAGGGGAGTGAGGACATCCTAATATTTCCTGAACACCCTGAGTTCTGGGCTCCATTCCAAATCCCTATTTGGGGCCCCCCTCCTGGCTGCATCCTGTTACATGGAGGAAAAGGGACAGCATGGCTTTTCTTTCAAGAGGAGAAAAGCCTCAGCCCTTGCTGTGACAGATCTTTATTTCTTTATCTGGGCACATTACCTGATGGTCCTCATTTACTATGCACAGGTTCACTTAGGTGGTCACCTTTTACAGAAGGAGCCAGTGCTGCTAATCACATTACAGAACAGGGATATTTGAAAATGAAAAGGGAAAAGTAGTTGAACCGGTTACACTCCATACTGGGGAGTTTTAGCGTGGATTTTAGGAAGTTACAGTAAGTACTTGCTGTCTCAATTCAGGGTGAGGGATTTTTAGCAAAAGCAAGTCTCAAAGTGGCTTAAGTATAATGCAGGCCTGATTCCCCATGGGAGAACCTATCTGTGGGCATGGGTCCTGTCTGGGCCCATGCCATGCAACATGGTCTTCTATACTGGGGTGCATAGGTTCTTTTGAACTGGTGTCTCAGGATCCTTAGGGTACAATCCCAACAGTGGTATTGCTGGGTCAAAAGGCAGTTCCATTTTAGTTTTCTGAGGAAATTCCATACTGTTTTCCACAGTGGCTGCACCAGTCTGCATTCCCACCAACAGTGTACTAGGATTCCCTTTTCTCCTCATCCTCTCCAACACTTGTTTGTTGATTTGTTTATGATGGCCATTCTGACTGGTGTGACATAGTATCTCATTGTGGTTTTAATTTGCATCTCTCTGATTGCTAGTGATGTTGAGCATCCTTTCATATGTCCCTGGGCCCTCTGTATGTCCTCCTTAGAAAAGTGTCTGTTCAGGTCCTTTGCCCATTTTTTAATTGGATTGTTAGTCTTCCTTGAGTAGAGTCATGTGAGTTCTTTACATATTTTGAAGATCAAACCCTTGTTCAAGGTATCATTGGCAAATATATTTTCCCATACAGTTGGTTCCCTTTTCATTTTACTGCTGTTTTCTTTAGTGATGCAGAAACTTTTTATTTTGATGAAGTCTCATTTGTTTATTCTTTCTTTTATGTCCCTAGCTCTAGGGGACATATTGGTGAAGATATTGCTGCATGGAATAGCTGAGATTTTCTTGTCTATGTTCTCCTCCAGAATTTTTATGGTATGCTTTTCTAAGTAAAATTAGATATCAAACAATTAAAATAAATTAATACATTTATGCTTGATGGAAAATGAAATAATCATGTCAACTGCTTTCAAATTGTTTAGAAAAATGTTCTTTGCACTACTGTTGCAAATCTTCTGTAAGGTAAAAATTATTTCAAAGTAAAATTATCTTTAAAGACACTTTCAGGCAAACAGAGTGAGAAGTTTCACTGTGCAGTTCTTGCATAGATAACTGCAAAGCATATGCATCTAGTTTTGGAAGAAGAAAATTGAATGAGGAAGAAAGGAGGTTTCAAAAACAAATTGTTGATAAATCTAAGTAAATACTAATGAGTTTTTAAAAGACTTACACTTTTGAAAATCAGCAATAGCAAAAGGATAGCAAAATAAGAATTATTTTTTTCCTCAGGTCTGTACATTGTTTGAGGAGTACTGATTAACCTCCAACTTTGTTAAGTCTAGGATCTGCAAAAGAATAAATATAGATTTTGTAAATTCAAACCAAATAGAGTGTTAAAGAAGGAACAAAGAAAAACTATCAGTCTAATATAAGGAAGAAAGCAAGAATAATAAGCAAGTAAAAACAGCTAATTTCAAGCCTCACAAAATAAGTGGTGGGAATAAATGAATACATTAGTCATTAACAATGTCTATAAATTTATATTTACTGATTAAAAGAAATTGGATTAAAAATAATTCAGCCATATTCTGTTAACAAGAGGTGTAACTAAACTAAGGACATAGATCATTTGACAGAAAACTAGTGAAAAAGTTGTTCAGGGATATCCTATAGCATGCTTTCTGCCATAGGCAATTGAATATCAAACTAAAAGAGACTTATAGAACAATGACATTTACTGATTCAATAAGGAATCTGGTGGTGAGTGGTTCTAGGACTGGTTCTGAAGATCAATGAAGATGTCAAGGACCAGGCTCTTCTATCTTTCCAACTTGCCATTCTCAGTGTTTCTGAGACATTAACCTTCATGGTTACAAAATGGTTGCAGCATTTCTTGTCATCTCATCCCACTCCGTAACATCCTAAAAACAGGAGAGAAAAAGGATTTCTCTTTAAGTGTCTCTATTTATGGAAGAAGGCAGTATTTTCTAGGAACAGATGGAAGAATTTCCTTTGTATTTATTTGCCTAGAACAGGGCCATCCCCAAACCAATCCCACTAGACGGGAATGAGATGACTAAAACTGGCTCAGCCCAACCACTAGTTAAGTGTGGGATAGAAAGGGTATCTATCTACTTTACCTGAGTACTTTGCTGCTCGGTATCTAAACAAAATTGAAGTTCTAACAAGGAAGAAGAGACTGCCCTTGAGTAAATAACCAACCTACTTGAAGTGTCTGTAACATTTAGCAAGGACTAACTAAATTAAAGTGGTCATAGCAATATTAATACAAGACAAAATGGACTTTAAGATAACAAGAATGAGTAAAGGAGGATTGATACTCACCAATAACAAAAAGGAGCAAGTCACTTGGATGATATAAAAATTATGAACTTTAATGCATCCTTATTTTAAGCAAAAGCAAAAGGAGATATGCAAAAAGTGGTTCAATGACAGAAATCCCCCCTTTGTCCACAATTTCACTTTCCACGGTAAAGTTCAGCTACCGCATGGTCAACCAGTTTGAAAATATTAAATTTCTGGGAGTCCAGCCAAGATGGAGGTGTAAGTAGAAATCCTTCACTTCCTCGAACAACCAAAAGGAGGATAACAACCAATCTAAAATCAACAAACAACCAGAAGTGCCATGAAATCAAACTGCCTGGAACTCTGACAACCACAGAATTAAAGAAATAGTCAAACAGAACAACCAGACTGCTAAGGGAGTGGTCAGAGAGAACCTGAGTGGAGACTGTGGATTGTGGGGGTGGGGACTGACTTAAGGGGAAACTGAAACTCAGAGCTGACTATGGACTACGGCAGTTGCCACGGCGGGAGTAACTCCCAATCTGAGAATCCTTTGAAAAGTGGGCTAGAGGCAGCAGGGGAGCTGCATTGTTCCTTCTCTGGCCCCTCCCCTATAAGCAGCTCCACATGGAAGCAAAAAGGGTTGTCCTTCCCCTGGTGAATACCTAAGGCCCTGCCCACTTATAACTTAACAGGGGCCCAGAACAAAGAAATAGGGCCAAATGAAAGAACAGAGCAAAACTTCAGAAAAGGAGCTAAATGAGGAGGAGATAGCCAACCTATCCGATGGAGAATTTAAAGCCCTGGTAATCAAAATGCTCACAGATCTGATTGAGCTTGGTTGAAAAATGAAAGAGCCCCAAAATAAAACAAAGCAAAAATATTCAGGGAACCAACAGTGACTGGAGGGAAACCAGGACTCAAAGCAAAGATTTGAAATGAAGGAAGAAATAAAAATCCAACCAAAACAGAATGAAGAAACAAGAATTCAAAAAAGTGAAGAGAGACTTTGAACTTCTTTGACAACTTGAAACATTACAATGTCTGAATTATAGGGGTGCCAGAAGGAGAACAACAACAACAAGAAATTGAAAACTTATTTGAACAAATGATGAAGGAAAACTTCCCCAATCTAGTGAAGGAAATGGACTTCTGGGAAGTCCAGGAAGCCCAGAGAGTCCCAAAGAAGTTGGACCAAAAGAGGAACACACCAAGGCACATCATCATTAAGTTACCCAAGATTAAAGACAAGGAGAGAATCTTAAAAGCAGCAAGAGGAAAGGAAAGAGTTACCTACAAAGGAGTGCACATATCAGCCAGCTATCAGCTGATTTCTCAAAAGAAACTTTGCAGGCAAGAAAGGGCTGGTAAGAAGTATTTGAAGTCATGAAAGGCAAGGACCGACATCCAAGATTACTCTATCCAGCAAAGTTTTCATTCAGAATGGAAGGGCAGATAAAGTGCTTCCCAGATAAGGTCAAGTTAAAAGAAGTCATCATCACCAAGACATTATTATGTGAAATGCAAAGGGACTTATCTAAGAAAAAGAAGATAAAAAATATGAACAGTAAAATGATAACAAACTCACAGCTATCAACAAATGAACCTAAAAAAATAAAAGAAAGAAAAACAAGAAAACAAAAACTAAGCAAACAATTAGAACAGGAACAGAATCAGAGAAATGGACATCACATGGAGGGTTTTCAGTGGGGAGGGGAAGGGAGGAATAGGGGGAAAAAGGTACAGAGAAGAAGAAGGATAATTAGTAGGTATAAAATAGACAGGGAGAGATAAAAAATGGTAGAGGAAACAGAGAAGTCAAAGAACTTATATGTACATCTCATGGACATGAACTAAGTGGGGGAATGCTGGAGGGTTGGGGGATACAGGATGGATGGGGGATAAAGGGGGAAAAATTGGGAAAACTACAATAGCATAATCAATAAAATATACTTAAAATATTAAATTTCCCCAACCATCAACATTATCTGCTCCTGACATCCAACCATCAACATTGGCATGGCTCAATGATCCAGGATCACCAGAAGGAGATGATCCTCCTTCTGAAGTGTTGTCAGAAGGTCAATGGTAGCCTAATGCTACATCAAAATGCCTATGTCATTCACCTCACTTCATCTCATCATGTAGGCATTTTATCATCTCACATCATCACAAGAATAGTGCGTGTAGTACAATAATATATTTTGAGAGACACTACATTCACGTGACTTTTATTACAGTATATTATAATTATTCTATTTTATTATTAGCTATTGTTGTTAATCTCTTAATATGCCTAATTTCTAAACTAAACTTTATCATAGTTATGTACATATAGGAAAAATATAGTATATGAATATATATAGGGTTCTTTACTATCTGCACATTTTAGGCATCCAGTTGGGGGGTTTGCAATGTATCCCCTGAACAAAGAGAAATTAACAAATCACGCACCACATACGGGACCCTATACCCTCACTGCCACAGCTCTGTTATTTGGATCACATAAGTGTGATGATATGGTTTACTTGGCCTGTGGATAGAACTGGACTCAAGTGCAAGAGCCAGAAACTATAGGTAGGAGAGATGAGACAAAGCCAAAGCCAATCAGGGACACTTCTGTCAGCTTTCAACAGCTCCAGCAGTTGAAAAATGGTTTTATAATCCTGAAGAAGAGATCTGAGCATCACTGTGTAAGTATAGCACACTGCTGAGCTCTAGAGCAAGATCATCTGGGTTTGTGCCTTAGCCTGACCATTCACTAGCTGTGTGACCTTAGGGTAAGATACTTAATCTTTTTTTGTGTGTCTCAGATTCCTCATAGTAAAATGGAGTTAATATTAATTTTCTTATGCATTTAGTATAACTATCAATTATTACACTTTAAATTTTGTTCACTATATTTATGCTTGTTTTATGATTTTCAAGGATATTTATTTCTTCCAGGATAGATGTCTCAAAAGTCACAAATGGATTAATGAATGTTTGTCTTGGTGACTAACTGGCTGTAGGGAAGCAATCCCTTTTAAAATCTGCTTAACTAGGAGAATATTAGTACAACAGTTAGTGACTGGGGTTTGGGGGTGGGGGTTGTACCGACTGCTCTATCTGGTAATTCTACCTCTGATGGGAGAAGGGTAGAGTTTTGTGCTGGAGCGGGCTCACCTTGGTTCACCAGAGCTGATAGCTAAATTTTCAGAAATTTTGTGAGCCAGTTATTAACTATCATTATTTAGAATTACATTGTATAAATGTATAATACAATAGATTCTCTTTTAAAAAATAATAAATATTAAACCTTCACCGCTTCCTAATTACTTACTACACTTCACTACAATCTGTACTCTTGAGCTGTTCATGTCTACTGTATCTGTAAGGTAGAAGTATTAAGTAAGGGAGTGCTACTGGTCATCCCTTCCCAACTCTGTATTCAGTGATATTACATGGGGAACTTAAAATCGGCCATGGCAGGAATATTTACACCATGGATTTGGCAAACACTATATATCAGGGCCTTATGATTTATTGTTTTGTTGGTCATCTGAATTTAGGAAGATGCAGTTTTAAAGTGTGTCATGTCTGTAGCCATTACATTGTAAAGAGCACAAACAATTGAGAAAATATTCTTGCAGTATTTGAAAACTGTTATTCAATTCTGCAAGGCAGGAAGGAGCTCATATCACTGACAAATAAAGAGAAGTTCTGACGTATGTCTTCATTGTCTCATTTTCATCTCACTTGTTAATGTGAACAAAAGTATGAATTAACTTTTAGATCAGAGCTGCACTCATTAATTGCAGCCATAGGTTGGCTACAGATGTGTGTTGGGCAAAAATCTTTGAAACATTATGTGAGAATCCGCCGGCTATTGGAAACTTACAATAAAGAACACTGTATATTTTATTATTACTTGTAAATTACGTGTTATATACCCTTTATATTCATAAAATTTATAGTGAACAAAGACATATGCAAACTTTTTTCCCTGGCAAGCTGGTCGTTCAGTGTTTAACAGCACATCACTAGTGATCATGATGACACGGTATAAAAATAAAATACTGTGTTTTTCTTTTTTAATATACAGGCCTAGATAGTACTCTTTCTGAGAGTTAGTGCTTGTCTTGAGATATACGCCTCTCTGTCTGACTGGGGGTTACCTCCTAGGAGACCAGGAAGGATCTTTACTCTGCTGTGCTCTTCATCTCACACAAATTCGGAAAGATCCAATCTGTTCTGGACTCTTCTGCAGAAGCCTCCCTCCACTTCCCGCTGGACAGTAGTATTAGTGAACCTAAATGACTCCTATCTGGGAAAATGGACATTAGGAATTACTGTCCTGAAAGAGTGAGATGTACTGGAGACTTTCTCTGTGCAGGCTTGAAGAAGATGAATTTCCTGACAGGGACATGGACACAGGGAACAAAGCTGGGAACTGGGCATGTGCATCAGGTGGCTCTCTGAGAACTAAACTGGCAGTGGTAACAGAGAGCTTGCCCTCTTCTGAAGTCATATCCTATCTTGTGGGACTAGGCCAGGAGTTTCAGGGGCAAAGTGAGGCAGAGAAGTGGACATGAGGGGCTCACAACTCACTGGCCCAGAGCAGATGGGAAAGCCATCCTTTCCCCAATATACGCACACTGCAATGGGAGAAGTGTGCCGAGTTTATAGGAGAGAAGTCTGCAGAGAAGCTGAAAGGAGCCTGCTGTTAGAAGTTTGCATTGACATTGTAGAGAAGCTGAAAGAGGAAGTTTAGATGAAGCAGAGAAAAGGAAGATCAGCTAAAAAATGCGGGTGTGGGTTGTTATATTAAGATCAGCAGTGGGTAGGAGGTGAAAGGAGAACCTAGAACAGCCATGTGCACACGGCCACTCCTAAGCTGGAGGGCGACCATCCCCAGGCCCGGAGAGGACACTTGCTTCTTTGGAAGGAAATGAGTTTCAGGAGGTATATACCCCTTGGAGAGAGAGAATTGAGAGGATAAGCATACTGTGGGAGGGGAAAGGGTGCCAGTTCAACAGTGAGTCAGGTCAAAACAACTCAGGAGAGAAGACAAAGTATCGTACTTCAGGGCTGATGACAGTCAACAATTTACTTCTTGTAGAACTTTCTTTCCTTGGCTTTCAACACCTGCCATCCTGATCCCCTGATGGGTTTTTCCCGATCTGCCCAGGGATGATGAGCAGACCTCCAGTGGCAAGCCACGTTGATGCTGATAATTAAATGAATCCTTGAAAGAAAAAAATAGAAATGGCCAGCTAAAACCTCTGCTATAAAGGGTTTCAGTTTCAAACTGATTTTATTTCTTGTAAAATGATGATATGAGGAAAAAGATAAACTGTTTGCCCAGATCTTGACCCCAAAACTTTGGGGAGAAGAGGATGCTGATTTTAGCTGTGACTTGTGGTGGGATGCTTTGTGGGGAAAAAGCCACCCACTGTGTGACTGACAGCTGTCACCAGCCCCCTTCTGCGCCTTCCCCACTTCCTCCACTGGAAACCAGGGAGGTTTGGACTGGATGATAGGTGCTACCTGCAGGTAGAAAACTGGAGAAAATATCTGAATAGATATTTAGCATTGTTATGGATCAGGAACAAAAGCCTGGTGAACTCTGGCCCGTCTCTGGCTCTCTTCATGTCCAAAATTCAGTTTTGTGATCAAAGGACAATATGTCAGGTCCAGCCCTGCAGGGAAATGCAGCTCTAATTTTGGCAGAGTCTAAGAGACCTCACTGCCTCCTTCACAGAGGAAACAGACTCCCTCAGGGGAGGACTCCCACACCTTCCATCAACAGTCATTCAGAATGACCTACTTCTGCACTCCATCTCCACCTTGCTCCTGGTGCAGTGGAAGGGAAAGTGTCCCCTTCCTAAGGTTACTGCCTCCAGGATTCCATCCCACGTTGTCTCACAACCTCTCTTCAACCTTCCCTTCACTTCTTTCTAACAATGTTTAAACATGCCTAAAACTCTTCCATCTTAAAATTAATTTAAAAACAAGAAAACAAATACAACAACAGTAGCCGGATCCTATAGCCCTCTAAGCTGCTGCCTAACTCCTTTTCCCCCTTTAGTTACACTTCTGGAAGAGCTGACTGTCTTGTTGCCTCCACTTCCTTCCCTTGCTTCCAGTCCTCCCTCCATTGTCATCTCCATCTCCTGCCCCCTCACTAGGGACAGTGCTTGCAAGGTCCCCAGCAGTCCAAGAGACACTTCTTCTCTCACCTGATGCACTGGTGGTGTTTGAATGATGATCTCTCCTCACTGGAAATGCTTTTTTATTGAGTCAATAATAACACATTCCTAGCCTCTCTTCCACCTTTTATGGCCTCCCCTTGGTGCTCCCATCTGAATGATGTCACTATTATATAGCCCAGCAATTTTCAACCTTTTTCATTCATTCCCACCAGACAGCTATTGCTGTGTTGGCTATTACTATATATATGAAAATTTGACAATCTAAGGGAAAAGAGGTCAGTGTCCATGACAAAACAATCAGGTAATGCATGTTTTAAACATTCTCAAGGCACACTGGTTGAAAGTCGCTGATCTAGCCAGTTGCTCAGGCCATCTGTGGATAACCATGAAGTCATCCATGAGCATCTTCTCTTGCTCCCCACATCCTTCAGCCAGTCCTGAGCTCTGTATCAAGATTAATTTAGAACCCTACCTTTTCTCAGAGGGTCCTCCTCTGCTGGCACCCTGGTCTCAGGCACTTCCATCTCTCACCTGGGACAATACAGTAGCCCACTTGGTGGCCTCCCTACCTCTACTCTAGCTGCCACACAGCAGACAGAGTGATTCTTTACAAGTAAATCACACTATGAAACACTCCTCCTCTCAACTCCCTAAGGTTACCTTGCCCATCACCCTTAAACCTCAGGTTACATGTCACCTCCACATAAACCCTCCCAGAACCCCTCCCAATTTGTTCCCTGAACACCTGTCTGTTCCTTCCAAGAGTATTTATTCCACTGTGTCATAAGTCCTCTGAGTCCCACAGCTTCCTGAGCTCAGAGAGAGTGGGACCTGGGTGGGTCTGTTGAACCCACCCTGAGTACATGGCATCATGTAAATATTCCACTCTTATATATGACTCTGGCTAGGTGGCTCAGTTGGTTGGAAGTTGTCTTGCACACCAAAAGGTTGCAGGTTTGATTCCCAGTCAGGGCACATACCTGGAATGTGGGTTCAATCCCCAGTCCTGCACCTACCAGAGGGAACCAATGGATGTTTCTCTCTCTCTCAAATCAATGAAAATATCCTCAGGTGAGGATAAAACAAAACAAAACAAAACAAAACACAACTGTTAATGTACTGTTCTCCCCTCAGTACATTACCCATTTCTAGACATATAATGTAAGTAACAGATCATGGAACAAACTGCAAAGGAAAGAAGGTAAAATCCTGACAATTAATTGATGGAAAGAATGGCCCCAAACATTCTAGAGAATCACAGTTTGATGAGCCCTTTTATTTCCTTGTAAGAAGGATGGGTGCGGCAAAAACAAAACTTTGCATGAAATTTTGGGGCCCAAAGCTACTAATTTCACCTATGGCTTGTGTGAGTGGCAAATAAGACCTAAGCTTAGGCACCCGTGTACGCCCAGATGCCTTTGCTCGGGGCCCCAGACGTAAGTGAAGATCGGTGACTAATCAAATCGGGGCTGCTGTTAACGAAGGCAGAATTTACCGGCAGGGAGTTCTCCCGGAAGCGAAAGCGAAAGAGGCCCAGTTAACCTAAACACCCAGAGTCGGGGTGGGACTGCCAGCGCCGGCTGCGGACCTGAGGATGGCTGCGCCGGGTTTCTTCCCGCTGCTTGTCGAGGGGTCCTGGGGCCCCGACCCCCCGAAGAACTTGAGCACCAAGTTGCAGGTGTACTTCCAGAGCCAGAAGAGGTCGGGAGGTGGAGAGTGTGAGGTCCGCCTGGAGCCCGGCAACCCGGTCCGCTTCTTGGTGCTCTTCCACCGGCAGGACGGTGAGCGGCGCCTGGGGCGGGTGTGGGCGGGAACCGCCGGGCTGTCCTGGCTGGAGAAACTTGGGTCAGGGGCAGTGGGTGAATCTGGCTGGCCCTAGCAACAGCCGTGGGGAGTTGCAAAATGGGCCAAGGGTGCGCGGGTTGGAGGTCGCTGTGGTTCCTCTGCTCTGCCCTTGCAGGAGCTCAGTGGTACTGCCCAGAGGTGGCGGCAGAACCCTGGAAGGTATAGATAGAATCACTTACCTCATTTTACAAAGGGATGTAGTGTATTAATGGCAGAGTTGCATCAGTTGTGTTTTTGTCTTCTACCTATTAAAGCAGCAGTCTAGAACTCCCAAGGTTTATGGGAACACGATTTTAAGGGAAGAGACGGTTTCTAGGAACAGTATGTCCAAATATATTGAATACTTTGGTGAGATAAGTTTGGTTGAAAATAAGTACATTGATTTCTTCTGAGAGACACCATGAAACTCAGACCTTTACAGGGGTGTCCAAACGTTTGGCGTCTCTGGGCCGCACTGGAAGAAGAAGGGTTGTTTTGGGCCACACATTAAATACATTGCTACATGTAATCACAAAAATACCTCACAATGTTCTAAATAAGTTTACGACCTTGTGTTGGGCCGCATTCACAGCCACCCTGGGCTGCACGAGGCCCGCGGGGCCCCGGTCGGACACCCCTGCTGAAGATCAGTGCAGTGTTCCAGGGAGGACAAGTTAGCGTTGGGAAGGAAGAGACACATTTGTGTGCCGTTCTGGTTTTGGTGACCTATTCTGTGGGAATGGTCAATGCTCCATTTGAGAGGGAAGGAGAGCGAAAGCCCTTTTCTTTCTGTAAACTTGTAGGCGGGGAAAGAGAGGGGCTAAGCAATGCGAGAAGCCGGGATGGTTTCCCCATGGGTCATGGAGATTCCCCGTGGTTCTGGGGTCAACTGAGACAGGGGCATAGATGCTGCTTAAAATCCCATTGTCTGAGCAAAAGAGGGAGAGTTACTGGAGGGGGGTGGTGACAGCTTGTTCTTGACCAACACAGTATCTTTGTTGGTAGTTCGGTACTTCGCCCCCCCCACCCCTCGGATTCAGGGTGGCCATCAGACTGGGTTGATCAAGGTTGAGAGTCTTGAGCTTTTGAGAGGGAAATTCCCTCCTCACAGGCAGTTGAGTAGCTGAGTTCTCCTCTCCTCCTGCTTCCTGTTGCTGCTGTTTAAGAAAGGCAGAGGACAAATATCCACCAAATATCTGTTTGCTTAAGACCTCCACCAGGTCCTGTAGCAGAAGCCACGTGACCACCTGCTCCCAGACTGCACATTCTTTTCCATTGAAATCTCATAAAAAAGGATGTGGACACCTTCTGATCCTGCTTTCCTGTCTCGGAATGTGAGAATCATTCAAGCTGGAGGAGGGGCAAGGAGGCTTACAAGGCCATGAGAGCAATTGGAAAGCTTTATGCAGGGATCCAGAAAGGAAAGATGAAACCCAGAGAGGAAAGGGGTACACAGATAAGTGTGGAGGGAGTGAGGAGGGCAGCAGGGCAGGAGACCCACTTGGCTCAGAACCTTTAAGAAAACAAAGTACAGAGTTTTCCAAGAATGAATTTCACCAAGGAATGCTCAGAAGGGCAACCATATGATGTAAGTGGTTTTCTCAGGGGACGTTACCACTTTGATTCCAACTGTTAACATCAGCGTGGGTCTGGCCCTTAGGGACACTCCTTTCTTCTTTGGCATCCCATTACCCTCAGGAGTGGTTCTCAAATTGGGGCCATAGACCCCCTGCATCAAACTCACTGCAGGTTGCACAGACACAGCCAAGCTCTGTCCCATAGACTCAGGAATCCTGAGTGTGTGCGGGTGAGAGGGAATCAGCACTTTGAACCAGCACCCCAGGTGACTCTGATGTGCTAAAGTCTGAGATCCCAGTTGTCTGTTGTTGATTCTGAATGAACAAAAAGGGAGATGAATATAGAAAACACAAACAGCATAGAAATATAATCAGTGCAAAATATAGTTTTGTGATGATACCATCATTCTGTTCTAGCCTTCAAAGCAGAACTAATTTCAGTCTCCTGCCAGGCTTCTTCCTTCACGTATTCTACCTGTGATCCCCTCCCTCAACCCCCAGGCTGTTCCGGTGATTCCTTTGTGTACCTCCCGCATGGACACCTCAAAACTTAGTCACTCAAGGGCTTACATGGGCAAGGTTCTTGGGAAGTGGAAAGTCCCAGTCAGTTTCAGTTTCCTATCAGAAGAGTAGTTTCTCAGCAGCAAGTTGCCAGGAATTTGCTAACAGTGAATGGCCTGACCCAACAGTCCCAGGGCAGATCTCCTACAGGGACACCCTCCTCTCCACACCAGAAGTGGCCTCAGCAGGTGCAGACTCACTGTGTAACATGGCTTTAGTCACATAATTCACATAGTAAGAATAAGCCCACCAGCATTTCTCTGTAGAAATTACTGGAGCACACAGGAACTGTTTGGAAGCTGTATCTTACGTTTACATAGTTCACTGAATTTCTGAAAAGTTGAGCATAAATTGACTTAGAAGATTTTAAATCCTGTTTCAGATGTGTACTTTTATCATCCTCTCTGGCCATAATTTGGCTCATGATTATCATCAGTCTCTTTGGGGGTAAGGAAACCCATCTTCTCTTTAAACAAAAGTAAATGTGGATGGTTTGAGGTTAGTGCAGAAGGGACACAGGTCATCCAGGTAAGCGTGGCTGGACATCAGAGTTTCAGGTCTTTTTTTCTCCCAGGTTCGCCTTCTCTTGGTTGGGGAGCACTTACTGATCTTGCTACCACCTGCCCTCTTGAAGTAGTGGTGCCCATACATATTGCCCAGAGAACAGGCTGGCACATTTAAATGCCTGGATGGGACTCTACCAAAGTCTAGGGAATAATAAAGTGAATGCATCACAGAGGTCCACAACTGAGAAAACTTAGCTTCCTTTCTGGCTTCAGGGGTCTTCTCCAGGCCTCACTCAAGCTTAGGGCAGCCCCTAAGGAGTTCAGGGAAAGACTCCCAGGAAGAGTGAATTAGAGTCTGGCATTTCTTCTCATTTTGTTTCTGGGGGTGTTTCATCCAGTTGGCATCCAGTTAAGACCTCACTTCTCTGGCTTCTTCACGGATGTTGAGGTGGGAAAGCTATTCAAGCCCTTCTTTTTGAAAGATTCCTACCTGTATCCTTGGCTTCATCAGGCCAACTGTATCAGAAAAACAATGTAGTGACCCAGCAGTCCCAGCAGAGCCACATCTGTGAGCAGGTTTCACAGGTTCTCCTTCACCCCCGACATCTTTGTGCTGTCTGACTGTGCCGAGCACACCTCCTCGTCCACATGCATTTCCTGTTCTTCACAGTCTCGCATGCAGCGGCTTTCACTTTCTCTCTGGCTGCTCTTTCTTGTAATGAAAACTTACATTTGCATAGCTCTTGTGGATGTCACAAAATTCTTTCACTGACCCTCGTTTGAGCGAGGAAACAGATTTAAGGAAAGTTAAGATATCTTCTCAATGTCACTCATTGAGTTAGTGGCAGAATTGGAATTTAAATCCAGATTTTCTGAACACTTGTCTATTAATTTTTTAAATCTCTTCATCCCTTCTTTTCTTCTCCTTTTACTATCAGATGTGAGGCTCTTGCCTTCACAAGTTAAAGAATTGATTGAAATAGCTTATTAACTAGCCTCCTGGCCATTCTGCTCCTGGTGACCCGAGTCACCTTCCTGAAACATGGCTTTTGTCATGCTGTGCCCCAATACCCAGTCTTCTGATCATTTCCCTTTACTGTACAGTAAACATTGCCCCCTTTCTGAGTGCCTGCTGAGCTCCAGGTACTATACTAAATTCTTTATAATGTTTCTTCAATTTAATCCTTGTAACACCCATGTAAGACCATCTTTATTACTGGTAATTACTTGTTAATATATAAGAACACAGAGGCTTTGGAAGATGCTTAAGGTTAAAAAAATAAGTTTAAAGATAGAATTGAAATCCATGTCTGCTTGCTAAACTTCTCCTTTTTTCACCACACAAGGCCTCCCTTGACTGATGATGGCAAAGCCTGTGGAAATTATGAAATAATTTTGTGAATAAAGGTTGATTGACAGTTAACTTTGCCTTCTTCCTCCTCCTCCTCTCCTTCTGCTTCTTCTCCTCCTCCTCTTTTTCTTCTTTTCTAATATTTCAGTTCGGCAGAAAGTTCTGGAGAGAGAGAACCATGAGTTAGTATGGCCAGGGAAAGGAACATTTAAGTTAACTGTCCAGCAGCCCCCTGCCCCAGATGAAGTCCATGGTATTTCTGAAGAGGAAATTCCAACAAAGGTAAGTAAAGGAGTGAGTAAAAGGGAAGAAGGGTATTCTTCCAAGGTGTGTGGGATGGGAAGCACAATGAGGAAAACCTAGTGGAATAAAAAGTATAAATTAAACTGTAGTGAGAAATGCAGCTTACAGATGTGGTGGGATAGGTATGGAATAATGAAGGAGGGATATTTTTTGTCCAATTTTAGACACTTTGGAAAAGTTGAGATTTGGGGGTTATAATAAGGGTGGTATGAGATGTAAAGTGTTGGGTGTGTTTGTCCTGGGTGCTCTTAACCTGGAACTTACTATATTTATTTTTAAATTGTTCTGAGGGGATAGTGGTCCATCTGCCTGTACTAAGTATTTCCTACGTGGTATAGCAATAGTATCTATCTTGTGGGATTGTTGTGAGGATTAGATGAGACAGCCTCTGTAAACAAATGGCACAGCACTTATTCATAGGAAACACTCAATAAATGTTAAGTGGAGAAAAGATTTAGGTCTTACCCCACTCCCTGGACACTTGGTGTCCACTGGGTTTCTGTTATTTGTGACTCATTTTTACCAATGATTTTTGTGCTGAGCAAGTGGATATGCTACTACACTTGGGGTGCATTCAAAAGCACCACTGCCAGAGCTTTTTATTATCATTTCTATTGACCCTACAGTTCTAGGCCAGCCTCCAGCACCTTTTCTTTTTTCTTTTTAAAGATTTTGTTTATTTTATTTTTAAAGAGGGGGAAGGGAGGGAGAAAAAGAAGGAGAGAAACATCAGTGTATGGTTGTCTCTTGAGTGCCCCCTACTGGGGACCTGGCCCACAACCCAGTCATGTGCCCTGACTGGGAATGGAACCAGCTACCCTTCAGTTCATAGGCTAGCACTCAATCCACTGAGCCACACCAGCCAGGGCCAGCACATTTTCTTAATGTAAAGAAACTATCAGTAGCCCTGGCCAGGTGGTACAGTTAGTTGGAGTGTCTGATTTTAGGGTTATAAAAGAGGTCAAGATGTTGTATTTATCTACCATGGTTTGATCCCCGATGGGGGCATGTACAGGAGATAACTAATCGATGTTTCTCTCTCACATCGATGTTCTCTCTCTCCCTTCCTCTTTCCCTAAAATCAATAAACACATCATCAGGTGAGGATTTAAAAAATAAATTATTAGTAATTTATTAATTCTACTTTATTGTTTGAATTTCAGGAATTCAAGACCAAAGAACATGCCAAAGAACCAGGTAAGATCTCAGTTGAGATGACTGGCCTTTGCAAGGCATTTCGCTTTTTTAAAGATGGCAGAGGTAGACACCATCCTTATCTTCTTTGCCTCATAAGGCAGGGTTTTCTCAGCTTGGAGGTGCCTGGGGCTGCATCATCTTCATACTCTTAGCCAGCTGTGCAGAGGGTGAACACTGGGGGAGCCACTTAAGCTCTGAGGGTTCAGGTCAGAAGGATGGGAACAACTCTCTCTGTGCTGACTGGGAGACATGGGCAAAAGGTGCCTGGAAGGTGGTGATAAGCTGACCTTCAGAGGCCACTTGTGCCCAAGTTGCCATCAAGAAGCAAGGACATGATGTATCAGTGGGTGCTGTATGTGGTTAAGTCAGTTTCTGAGCACTGGGTGTGGAAAGTGCTGTCCTCTGGAGCCACAACAGGAAGATGTGGGTCCTCTGTGGATGAAATCTTCATAGTGGGGTGCTCAGGATGTGGGCACAGCCCTCCAGACCAGCAGTGGCTCTCCTCGTCCCATCTGCTGTAAGAAAAAGCCTGAAACCTAGTGGCTGTTGTGGACTCTGTTGCTTAACTAGTGCCTGGGCTTTGGCCTATATAGCGCATGGCATTTACTAAAGAAGTGACTGGTTTTCCTGGCTTAGCATGCTGTATAAAGGGGAGGAAATGATGAAACGTGTTGAGTGGCTGATCAAGAGAGAGAAAGTGATACACATATCCAGATCTTAGGGAAAATAAATTGCAAAAAATGTGTAAATATTTTTCTCTAAAGTTGAAATTGTCTTGAGAACATGTTTAGATTTTAAAATGGCACTAGGATAAGAGCTGTCTTTACTTGGTAAAATGACTGGATAGGGATGTATAGGTTGTTTTTACCTAACATGGATATACTATTAAACTATAGAATCTAGTATGCATGGTTTCCTTAAGAAAATCATGATTCTTTGAGATAGGAATTTTAAAAACTCCTTACCTGAGGCTATGTTTATTGCTTTTAGAGAGAGAAGAAGGGAGGGGGGAGAGAGAAAGAAACATCGATGTGAGAGAAACATTCATTGGTTGCCTCCTGTACCCATCCCAACTGGGATCAAACTTGCAACCCCAGTCTGTGCCCTGGCCGGGAATCAGTCCTGCAGACTTTTGGTGTACAGGACAATGCTACAACCAACCGAGCCATGGGCCAGGGCTGAGCCAGGATATATATATATATATATATATTTTTTTTTTTTTGGTCTTTTTAGAGTAATTCCTGTTTTCCATTTTTCAGATGTCAGACTGTCTCACCCAACTCCCATTGTTCATTGTGACCCCCTAAATCCAAGAAACAGATAACTGTTTCTTGGAAAGTAACTTATATGCTATACCCTCAAGTTTGAATTAGACCAGGAAGTGATTTTATATTTGTACTTTTGTATCTGTGCCGTTTCCCACATTGAGAGTTTAATCAAGTCTGGGTTTCTTATGGTTTCATAGATTTTACCCCAACTCTGTCTTTATTGATTTGTTAGCACTGCTTCAGACTCACTTAAGATCCCAGGTGTGTGTATTCTCAGGGAGAGTCATCCAGCCCCACTCCACCAATGGACTTTTCATTGTCCTGGAAATCTTAAACCCATTTATTAACCTGTTTTTACTTGATCCGGATTCTAACCAGCCAAAACATTGGATAGCCCAACAAGATACTTAAGTTGGCCCCTTTAAGAAATGGCAGTGGAGGTCTTTGTTGAATGGTTGCTCTATACTGAGCCCTGACAATCCCTCTAAGGCTGGAACTCTTGAAATTAATTGGAATGGTGTAGACAGTTTTCAGAACTGAGCAAAATGAGGATGGAGGGTGGTTACCTAATAGGTCCCATATCTCAGGGATGAGGAGAGCAGAGGACACTGCATCATGGATGCACTAGGCGTGCCTGGAACCCCGAGCTTCAAGTTCAAGATCGACAGGCAGAGCCCTGAATAGTGTAGCTCAGTGGATTGAGCACGGGCTGTGAACCAGAGTGTCACCAGTTTGATTCTTAGGGCACATGCCTGGGTTGCAGGCCAGGCTCACGAGAGGCAACCACACACTGATGTTTCTCTCTCTCTTTCTCCCTCCCTTCCCCCCTCTCTAAAAATAAATAAATAAAATCTTAAAAAAAAAGATTGACAGGTAGCTGACAGATCAGGGAAAAGCCAGTCAAGGCACACAGCAACATCAGGGGATGTGAACACTAAGCCAGTGTCCTGCTCCAGGCTAAGCTGAGTTGGGCTGGGCCAGAAAGGTAGAAACCAGCAAGTGGAAAAACTGGGAGAAGAGTAACAGGCAAGAGCAGAGAAATATTGGCCAATTGCAGTCAGCACATTCTGGTTTTTCTAAGTCTGTGTTTTCAGCCTGGACCCTCTTTGAGTTCCAGACCTTGTGTTGGACCTTTCTGTTGGAAAATGTGTCAGAGCCAACATGCCTGAAGCTGCCTGTGTCATCTGCCTCCAAATTGGTGCCCTCCTCTGTCTTTTTTATTTCACTTGAACCAACTAGAACTTTTAGTCTTTTCTTTCAGCTTTCACATATGTTGGTCACAGAGACTTACCAGTCTTTTTAAAAAAGTTTTCCTCATCCATTCCTCCCTCACCCCAGGCTACCATCAGCATTTCACAGATCCAGAATGACAGGTGTACCCTGCTTAGTCTCTCTGTATCTGATGTCCTCTCCTTAAATCTAGCCGGCCCTTTGTATTGCTGGATATCTGGTCATCCTTTTCACAGAAACCTTCCCTGACTCACCCTTACCACCAACTGCAAAGTAAAGTCCAGAGCACGTTCTGGATGAAGCTGACTTTTCTGGCCTCATTTCTTACATCTCTGTACACAAGAGCGCCTTGAGGATTATCAGATAGAATTATCAGTCAGATCACCATTTCCTAAGTAGGAAATTTGGCACAATCACGACACCCTGCCTTTACTTCTGTTGCTCACAGTTCTCTCTACCCTGCTTTTCTCTACCTAAATTCTATTGACCCTTCAAGATCTACTCAGCTTTCTCCTCTTCTCTAAACCCTTTTTAAGCCAGCCCAATCACCATTTCTCTCTTTCTTGGAATCCTGGCTTGATTGTTGGTGCTCTTTATTTGGAAGTTAAGCTTTTCTTGTGATGAAGCTTCTAATAGTCTTGGGATGATAAAACTATATTGCTAGAAAGGCTCCTACCATTCACTTAGTCCAATACTCTCATTTTATAATTAAGAGATGTGCCCCAAGTCAGACCGCTAAAGAGTGGCAGAGTCAGGTTGAACTCTATGCCCTCATTCTCAGACCAGTATTCATTCTAGTTTGTCATACCTCCCTCATTGAAATGCTAGTTTCTGTTGTTATTGACTCCTTATGCTATTTTTTATTTGGCATGAGTGAGTGTGTATGCGTGTGTGTGTGTGTGTGTATGGTGCCTCATCCAGCACACAGCAGGAATGCTTGTCGGGGTGATCTAACTGCTGTAACAAACAACCCCCAGATCATGGTAGTTGGCAGCTAGTGTGGTGGGTGGAGTCTAGATTGCTTCACACAATCCTTTGGGAATCCAGGTTCTTTCTATATTTCAATACGATTATCCTTGATATGTGGCCTCTAAGCTCACTGCAAGGGAGAAGGGAGATCCATATGGAGGAGTCTTGTATTGGCCATCCTTGGAAGTGGAATTCACCACTTCCACCTGTGTTCCATTAGCCACATGAACTCTGCCATGGGAATTTAACTGCAGGAAGTCTGGGCAATGTTTCCCAAAAAGGAAACAAAATGGACTTGATGAGTGCATGGCATTTTACTCTGCCACAATAAACATTTATCAATGTCAGGGTTTTTTTTTAAATACCTCCATTAGAAAATCTGTAAGTCCTTATCCAATGTTTTTTGTATGCACCTCTCTTCACATATCCCGTGCCTTGAACATAATAAGGGCTACAGTTGAATAGTTGGTCAAAGAAGGCCTAAAGATCATATGGTACTCATCATGCTTCACTGCACTGGGCAAGCACAGAGTGAGACTAACTTTACACATATGTGTAACTCACTTATGGTCAACAGTGGGGAGGAACAAGCTGGCTGGGGTGATTGCTATTCAGTAAGTTTGATATAAACATATGTCTCTAGGCCATTTTACTTTCTCTGTGTATTTCTTAGTTATTCAGTACAAGTATCTCTTTTTCTCTTCAGAGACAGAAAGTTATTGCTTTTCAGAGCATAAAGTGTTAGATGATGCTCACATTTAGCACCACCAGATATTCTTGCTTTTCTCCAGTGGTCCAAGAACTAAATCTCCAAATTAGCAAACACTTATTGAGCCTCAAATATATATACCATGTGCTAGTAATACAAGGATGCATAAACATTGTCCTTGTTTTTTTTAATCCTCACCCAAGGAGATTCTTATTGAGAGAGAGAGAGGGAGAGAGAGGGGGAGAGGGAGAGGGTGAGAGGGGGAGAAATGTGAGAGAAACATAGATCCGTTCTCTCCTGTACGTGCCCTGACTGGGAATTGAACCTGCATCCTTTTAGTGTATGGGATGGTGCTCCAACCAACTAAGCCACCTCACCAGGAGTGTTCCTTGCTTTTGAGAAACCGAGTTTAATAATTATAATATGGTGTTGTGTATACGTCAGCAGAAATAGGTATAATAAATTTGATCATCATCATTGTCATAATTAATTTAAGCAAAGAGCCTCTCCGATCTCTTTTTATTTGAGTTAGCTAAGAGATTGGGAAGGAAAGATTACATTGTCTTATGATAATTTACTTTGCTAAGACCATGGTAGATAAACATAACATCTTGACCTCTTTTGTATTTATAAAATCAGATATGTCGGAAGATACAAAAATGGAAGATATCCCAAAAGTATGTGAAAATATTCCCTCTTTGGTTGCATTTGAAAATCTCAAAGAAAATGTGACTGACATCATGTTGGTCTTGTTGGTGGAGAACATAAGTGGCCTGACCAGTGTTGATTTTCAAGTGGAAGTAATCAGAGATTTTGATGTTGCCGTGGTTACCTTTCAAAAATATATAGGTAAGATTCAGTGACACTCATTTGCACCGCACTTTTGGGATTTGGGACACTTAGCTAATGGAATGTTTCTGGAAGTTGGATGCTTTTTAGTAGCTAGTAAGAGGACTCCAGGTTAATACAGATCCTTTTTTATTTGAAAGAGAAATAATTTTGAGTCCAAATTCTGGTATGTTTAATAAGTTAAACTTTATTGTATGAGGTGTGTGTGTGTGTGTGTGAGAGAGAGAGAGACAGACAGACAGACAGACAGAGACAGAGGCAGAGATGGAGATGTAGAGAGAGGCAGAGACAGAAATAACACACCCAAAATGAAATCTAAAGTCCAAGGTTATTAAAGTGACTCCATACATGAGTCACCATTTTCACATGTGCTACCTCATTGCGAAAAGTAAATATTGATCTGTGTTACCAAACTGGACTTGAAGGTAATAAAAATAATAATAGCATACACTTACATGGTGTCTCTATCAGTCAGGTATTATGCTAAGTCCTTTACATGTAATTGATTTGGTCATTTCAGCAACTTTTTGAGATTATTATTATTCCTCATTTTACACTTGAGACAGAGGTGCAGAGATGCTAATAAATGGATAAACTCTATTTGGACCCAGACAGCTTACCTCTCTATAGCCTGTTGGGTTATCCCCTTTACCATGTATCTTCTGGTAATGGTATCTTCTTCATACTTTCATGGTCACCCACATAGCAGCAAGAATAAGTGCATGTGTTGCAGAAAATGAATGGGCTTTGAGGTCTGGGGGAGGAATCTGTGGGTTGGAAGAGCCATCTCCAGAAAAACAAGGAAATTTTCAAATTTCAAGCCTCACTATTCCATAGCCATGGCAGTGGATTGGTTAATTAAGAGCACAGATCATAAAGTCAGAGTTCTAGCCTCCCCATTTAACTGGTTATCTGAGGTTGGCTGAGTTACTATCCTATGTGTGCTTTACTTTCCTCGCCTATGATATGAGGATAATTTCTACCTGATACAGTTTCTATGAAGAGTAAATGAAATAATGTTTGAAAAGCTCTTAACATAGTGCCTGAGACATAGTAAAGAATCAATACTATTGGGAGCTATTCTTGTTTCAAATTTATTATTATTTCTTATAAAGGTAAAACTAAGTGGACTTGCTTTTATTCGCTGGTCAAAATTTTTAATGTCTACTATGTGCGCTTGTCTAGGTGCTGTGGGTACAGAGATGAATAATTCTTGGTCCCTCCTGTTGAGGAACTCATATGCGGAAGGGAGGAAACCCATACATAAACTAGTAATGAAGATGCAAGAGGAGAAGCTGCCTCCCTGGGTTGTGAACAGCAGGCCGTGGGGAATGGGAGGAAGGGGCACCCAAACAAGGGGGCTTGGCTTTGCCCTGCCTACTCCGTTCTGTGAAGTTTAGACTCCAGCTGTACCAGTCTGTTGAGTCCCAAATCTACTGTGTTGCTTCATGCCACTGCGGTGCCCTCTGCCTGAAGTGTCTCATCATCATGGGCCCATCATCGATATTTATTTATCTGAAAGAGATAATTGGGCTGAGTCTCAATGGAGGAATAGGACCAAGATAAAAAATTGGAGGGCAATTTAGGCACAGGAATTATATATACAAAGGCAAAAGAGAATGGCTTTTCAAAATAATGACTAGTTTCTGTGGAAAATAAAATGAATGGCAGGGAATAACCAAAGGTGATACTTGGAAATTAGTTTGGAGTCAAATAGCAAAGTGTCTTGTAAGCCTAGCTACAGAGTGTGTGGACTTGTGCCTTTGGATAATGGGGAGCCAGTGAAGGACTTGAAAAAGGGATGAAATGGGATTTGTATGGTAGAGAGACTACTCAGGTGGCTGTGTCAGGGTGGGTTGGAGAAGACTGTGAATGGAGGTAGGGACAGAGCTCAGTGGCAGTCATCCTGGTAAGATGAATGTTGTTCAGAGAATGGGAATTTTAGGTATGTGATTCTCATTTAGGAGTTAAAATCTTGCATCTAAAAACCAAGTACTTAGCTCTTCCCTTTACTTCAAATAATATTTGGAGAGTTTTTTATATGTAATATAAAGATATAATCATAATTTTCTGATTGGTTGATTTTTGGTTTGAAGATCCCAGGAAATTTGTTGATGATTGTGCCATGAACTCTTCTGTGAAACGTCTTCAGCTTTCTCCAAGACTTCTGGAAGTGACAAGAAAGATCAGGGTCGAAAACCTGCCGCCTGGTGTTGACAACTATAATTTGAAATGTTTTTTTGAAGATCCTCAAAATGGAGGGGGAAGAGTTGTCAATGTCGAATATTTTCCTGAAGAGAGTTCAGCACTGATTGAATTTTTTGACAGAAAAGGTAATTTCTATTAGCCTGATTTTGTAAACCCCACCAAGCATAATTTAAACTATATTAGCAGAACTTAACAGTTATTAGTTGAATTCTGATGTATTTTATTAATATTTCTTAATCATATATTTCATTGGTAATCCCATTAGGAATCTTGTTCGTCCGGCATATGATGCTTAATGTGTCCAATGATTCAAACTTTAGAGAAGTAATGTCAGATTTTTGAAGGATACAAAGAGATTCTCTTGAGTTTCACCAATAATGTGCTGAAAAATGTATAATTCTTGAAATCCTGGAAATACTGTATGAAGGAAGAAATGTGTTTTGGCTATACACTTGGTAGAAATTCGTAAGTTCATTTCAACAAGGTCAGGTAGAGAAATAGTCAGAAGCACATACAGTTCCTAGAGAGTGGTACTGCTTCCCCTTTCACCTTGTCAGTGTCATCATTCAGAAGTTAATAGGGCTGATGTCACACGATTGGTGGACGCCTGCTGGATTGCTCTGTGCTGTGACATTGTGAAGACCATGTCCAGTTGAACCTTACAGAAACACTCTGGGGGTTTTGTAGGCAGAGATGGCCAGCCCTCTGAGGCATGTGCAAAGTCACCTTGGAGAGTCTGTTCATGTTTAGAGGTCAAGGCTGAGTAGGAATTTGGGAACCAGACTTGTCAGGGAAAGAAGGAACCTTGTGCTTGGTGTTAACCGGGGGGCCATGAGACAGGATCATGCAATATGCCACCGACTTAAGAAATGTTGTTTCGTGGAGTACTTGGAGGAACCCCTCTTCAGCTTTTTTAAGTTGGAGAAAACAGGATAAGGGTGTGGTTTACATTAAAATGGACTTAGGGACCTAGTATTCCTTGGGCAAAGGAACAAAAGAGGACTTTCTGTTGTGTGTTATTTAAATCTCCTTCAGCCTGTGCTTGGCCTCAGGTATAGAGCTACATAAAGCTGTCTACTCTGGAAGTTAACTTCCAGCTAATGGTGGCAGTGGACAACTTTGGGGCTTTTAAACATCTGGAGGGCATGGGGCAGTTGCATATGTCCCCAGGATGTCTAGTTACATGTGTATCACTAAAAATAGGAACTATTGATTAAGATTTATTTCATACCAGTGCTACACCTCTGCATAGTAGGAGTCTCTCAAAGGTTCCATTTCACCTGACCTTCTAGCATCATCTACTGTGTTGGCCACACCTCCTCCTCTAACCTCACTCATTCCCTGTACTCCAGGCTCTGGGATACACTGACTTTCCCTTTCTGTCTCCGGACATTTGCATAGCTCTGCAGGGTGCTACAACGTGCATTTATAGACACTGCTGTCTAGGCATTGCTATTATTGTAATCCTTATTTTATGGATAGAGAGCAGGATGACAGCTGAAGGAGTGGGGAAGTTAATGGGTGGAGGGGTGGATCAAAAAGGAAAAAGGACTCATAGACATGGACACAGTGTGGTGATTGTGGGAAGAAAGAGCTCAAAACAAAGCAAAACAAAACAAAAAACAAATGAAGAAACTTAGGGACAGAAAGATCAAATAACTTGACAAAGGTTACATAGCTTATGTAACTAGGTACTGTTCCAGTAAAGTGGCAGGAGATGGGTTGTAGCTGGGATGGGGGAGGTGAGTCAGTTTCTGGGCTGAGTAATTTGATGACTTTGAGGATGACCTGTTTGGACCCTGGTAGAAGGGCAAGAGCATGGGCTTTGGGTCAGACAGATTCTGGCTTGAATCTTAGCTCTGATACTTATAGCACATGACCCTGTTCAAGTTATCTAATCTTTGCTAGTCTGAGTTTTATCATTGGTGAATAGTGATGATAATAATTGTGTCCCTACCTCAAAGCATTGTGAAGATTAAATTAAGTAAACATGTGTAAAGCACTTAGACTAGTGTCTGACACATGGTAAGCTATGGTAATTATTACTATGCTCCTCCCCTGAGAAGTATTAATGGAATCTAAGTCATCTGTGAAGCCTGAAATTGTGAGAAATGCAAGAAACAGTAAATAGCATGATTCTTAGACAAACTTGGCTTTGAGCATCAAAATGTTCTTTACACTGAGGCAAACAGTATCCCCATGCTTGCAACCAAAGTCATATCTATTTCTTAACCTGGCGCTGATAGTGTTGTCAGAAAAACAGAACACAGAATTTATGTAACAGAATTTCAACATAGAGTGATCTTGGCTGGAAAGTAATTATTCAATTAAGTGAGGGATACCTATATAGTGTTAATACATAGTCATTGATATTTGAGCTCTTTGAGAGTAGAGCTGCTTTTTAATACCATGCTACATCACAGTTCTACAAGCATTAGGATTTTTCCCTCTCTGGAATAGGAAAGGTTTTGTTCATTTGTTTGTTTGTCTTCATTTGAAACATATTACTCTGGGATTACTTTATTTTATTTCTTTCCTTTTTAGTGTTAGACACCATCATGACCAAGAAACTTGATCTCAATAACATGCCGCTCTCTGTGTTCCCATACTACATGTCTTTGGGCACAGCTTTGTACGGAAAGGAGAAGCCTCTGATCAAACTTCCAGCACCATTTAGAGAATCTTTGGATCTTTCTTTATGGAAGTTCTTGTACAAAAATAAGCACCTGGTTGAGGCGATAAATGAAGAAGTGAGCCATTGTCACTGTGAGCTAACATGGTCCCAGCTCAATGGTGAAGTTACCATCAGACCCGCGGCCACCTTAATCAATCAAGGAAGACAGACAGTCAAGAACTGGGAGAAAGATGCTTCCTCAGTGTTCTCTGGCATCAAGTCTAGATATAAAGTCACCAAATTTAAAGTGGATCCAGTAGTGTGGGACACCATAAAAAACAGTTTAGAAGATGAAAGCATTTTGATTGAGTTTGATATGCTTATGGGGATTGTAACTTTAGCAGGGAAGTCAGAAGATGTACAAAACATTGAGCCACAAATCAAGGAATTAATAGAACACACCAGTCAAAAAATTAAAAGAGAAGAGCAAAGTGTGAAGGAAAAAGTGGCCATTTCTCCAGGAAAGTATTCTCTTCTGCTCTACAGCAGTGATCAGGAGCGCCTCCGCACAGAGTACCCAGAGATGGAGATTTTTTATGATGAAGACACTCAACACATGTGCCTTAAAGGCCTCGGTATAGATGTGTATAAAGTAAAGTGTGAAGTCCAGGAAAAGGTGTACAACATGGCTCAGAAACACATTGAGCTTCCCCATGAAGTTTTCCAGTTTTTGCAACAGGTTGACTGTGCAGAATTCTCTAAGTCCTTTTTTGTAGCGCAGAAAATTCTTGCAGTTTGTGAGCTAGAGGGTACAACTGTTCTCTTAATCGGCTATTCTTTTGAAGTCCTATTGGAAGCTGAAAAGCATATGGTCAGTGCCTTATGTTATATGTCCATAGACATTGAGAACAGGGGAGTTCTTAATAGCAAGAAATGGAAAACAATCACTGGCAATTTGCTTAAGAAACATAATTCCTCTTCAAAGACTGTAATAATCAGTGAGTTAACTTCAAAAACCCCACCAGAGGCCATTATTGCAGGCTGTGTGAAAGAAGTACAGGAGACTCACAGCCTCCTTTTGGACTTTGTGGAAAAAAACATGAAAATAGAGAGATTTATTGAAATAAAGCCTCCCTTAGTTATTGATTATTTAAAGGCAGAGAAGAAGCTATTACAAAAGATGAAGCAAAAGAAGATAAATGTTCAGGTGGATTTCAGTCCTGGGAGCAAACCAAATGGCATTTTACTAACTGGCTCGAAGGCCGAAGTCATGGACGGAATGGACATCCTCACTCAAGCCAGGGATTCAGTCTGTGTTAAAAGTGTCTGTATCAATAAGCCAGGAGCCAGGCAGTTATTCCTGGATAAGCCATGGTGTTATAAACGTGAGGTGCGGTTACATGGTTGTTTTGTGGAACTACTGCAGAATGAAGAAAAGGAGGGAGGTGGTGCTGTTGGGCAGAAGTGCTTCTGTCGGGCAGTGTTGGTCCCTGGAGTCTCTCTGATCGTACAGCAAGGCGACTTGACACGGTTTCCTGTTGACGTGGTGGTGAATGCGGCCAATGAGAACCTCCGGCACAGCGGGGGCCTTGCCGCTGCCCTTTCCAAAGCAGCTGGCCCTCAGCTCCAAGCAGACTGTGACCAGATAGTGAAGGAAAAAGGCACAATCCCAGTTGGCCGTGCCATCGTTTCGAGAGCAGGAAAGCTCCCATATCGCCAGGTCATCCATGCAATAGGACCCAAGTGGAAGAGTGATGATGCCCAGGGGTGTGTGCTCCAGTTAAAGAAAGCCGTGAGACAAAGCCTCCAATTGGCTGAAAAACTCCAGTACCAATCTATAGCCATCCCTGCCATTAGTTCTGGAGTCTTTGGCTTTCCCATATCTCAGTGTGTGGAGGCCATCGTTTTGGCAGTCAAGGAAACCTTCCAGTATAACTGGGATGGGCGCACCTTGAAGGAGATTTACCTTGTGGATACATCTCAGAAGACTGTTGAGGCCTTTGCTGAAACTGTGAAAACCGTATTTAAAAACACCATGCCTGGTACTTCTTCCCAGCTCAGTGTACCAGCCACAGTCCAGGCCAGCCTGAGAAAAGATGATGGAAACAGCAAAGTGCTGTTGTGCCCTGGCGGCCTGAGGATCCTGTTGGTGAAAGAAGAAGTGCAGAATGCTACGGTGAGTGTCTGTCTTTACGGTGTGCTCACCGAGAGGTGCTGCAACTCCAGGGAGTCTGTTGCCAAAGGAAGATTGGGATCAAGAGGAGAATTAAAGGAGAGAATCCCGTGTCCTCCCTTCTGGCTTGGAAAGAGGTTTCCTTAGAAAATTGGGCTACTTCATCTCAGCATTTACTGACACACTGGCCAGTTATGTATGGGAACTGGCAATGTATTCAGATCCCTAGGATTCTAGTAAATGTGAAAATCCACAATAACAACTTATAGTTACAAGGCTCTATACTTTTTCAGTGCCTTCACATCTGTCATATTTTGGTAAATCTAAGGTTAATTTCCTAACAAATTTACTGACAGCAGATACAGAAAAATTAGAGTGCAGAGTGGGAACAGAAAAAAGGAATCTTGTCAGTGGAGCTGAACCACGTTGACTGGGGCCCAGAGTCTGCAGGGCCATCAGTGCCCACACCAGTAAGAGATCGTGGGAAGGAAAGTAGAGGCTGGACCTGGGAAGGGCCTGGGTATTACATGGGAACAATTCTCATAGGTCTGCCAGCGGGTGATGTGTTTTTTTAAAAAGTGTGTTTAACAGCCTTTTCAACACAGGCTCTACCTAACAGGAGCAGCAGCTCTGGAGGGTTGTGGGCAGGCCCGGGGAAGGGATTCCTAGGGAAGGCCATTGGCCTGTCTTCCTCAGAGAAAGATCTAGTCAGATCCTTTGCCCACTTTTAAGATGGGTTATCTTTTCATTACTGAATTTTAAGAGTTCTTTATATATTTTGGATACAGGTCCCTTACCTGATATATGGTTTGCAAATATTTTTTCCATTTTGTGGTCATTCTTCTTAAGCTTGAATAATAATTACAAGAACAATAGCTGCCCTGGCTGGTGAGGCTCAGTCTTGTACATTGAAAAGTTTTGGGTTCAATTTCCAGATCAGGGTACATACCTAGGTTGCGGATTTCATCCCCATTCAGGAGGTACATGGGAGGCAACCAATCAATGTTTCTCACATCGATGATTCTCCCCTTCTCTTCTCTCCCTTTCTCTTCTTTCCCCTTCTCCCCTCTCCTCCCTTACCCTCCCTTCCGCTCCTCTCCTCTCCTCTCTCTGGTTCTCTCTTCCTCTTCCTTTTTCTAAAGGAAATGAAAAAATGTCCCCAGGTGAGGATACAAAAATAATAGCTAACATTGATTATTTAGTATGTGTCAGACACTATGCCAAGTGCTTGGCTTGTATTTCTCATTCAGAGCCATGAGGTGGATTCCAGGATAATTACTCTTCTCAAACAGATGAAGGAATGAGACTTGGAGGAGTTAAGTAATTTGCCAAAGTCCCACAGCTAACAAATGGTGGGAGCCAGGATTGGAGTTTGTGCAGGCTCTTAAGCATTGCACTATTTCAAAAATATTAAAAATAATTTTGTTTCTCATTTGAGAAACCAAACAAATAAATAAGAAACTCTTCTGACCACGAGTCAGTAATTGGAATGAGTTCAGTTCCTTGTCCGTCTTGAACATTGAAAAAATAGTAAGACATTGCTTCCATTCCTTTTACTCCTGTAGATGTCTGGCTTCCGATGCCACAGTACCTGCTGGGTGTTGCTCCCTGTTGACGCATGCAGGGCAGCTTTGAAATGACTTGGTCACATTCCTTCTCCTCTCTTGGTACCTTAATCTAGCTCATTAACCTGCTCACATTAACTGTCCTGCTGAAAAGCTTGCCTGGCTCTTCACTATGTGTCGGCAAGTCCACTTGGCCTAGCATTTCAGGTCCTCTGCAGACTATCCCCAGTGTATCATTTCTAGCCTGGCTTGCATCATTTTGCCACAGAAGCTCTCTATCAGGTCAAACTAATCTGCTCACAGCTCACGACCTACCATGAATGTGTTCCCTCTCCTGAATGACTTCCCGGTCTCTCTCTGCCTGCTGCAACTATTCCCAATTCTAGGACCCCACATCACTCATGGTGTCTTCACTGGCCACTGACGGCATTTCCTCTGGACTCCTTCATTGATCCCATACCATGATATATTGCTTTTTGACTGCTCTCTTTTCTCCTGAAGTGTAATTTAAATAACTGTCTAATAATACTTTGTCTTTGGTGGCATTTCAGTCTCTGAAAACTTAATCATCTCAGTTGTCTCCCATTGTGCCAAGTCCAGTGGGTCAAATATAGTAATCCTTGACGAATGCGTTTTGTTGGAATTTGAAACAAATTGTTGGTTTTCTCTTTAAGACCGATGTTGTCGTCAACTCCATTCCTAACAATCTTGAGCTTAATAGAGGGCCCCTTTCTTCGGCCCTCTTGTCGAAGGCTGGGCCAGATCTCCAGAAGGAATTGTACACAGCTGAACAAAATTTGCCTGTTGACGTGGGCACGATTCTCCAAACCAGTGGTTGCAATCTGCATTGCCACCATGTGCTTCATGTGGTGGCTCCGGACTGGAATAATGACAACACATCTTCACGCAAGGTAGGGCCTGGTTTTAAATTCTCCAGGAATTGGGTACCCCTTTGGACTCCTTCCAGTATAATGTTGATTGGACCCTGTCTATTTCTCTTCTGTAATAACTTCACATTCTTGGCAGATTCCATCATTATGGCCCTTTTTTGAGCTGTAGCTGATTTCTCATGAAGGCTAGTTAATAATAAAAATTGATTATAGTGTTCAGTCATTATTGGGGCCAGGGAAGGATTATTATTGAACATAATACATCTTTAGTGAGGGAGGCAAGGTGAGAGCATGAGGAATAGAAGAGCACATGGGGTTAGAACTGGGGAGGCTTTGCCTCTTCTCTTCACTCTGAGTGAGGTGGACTCTTTTGGGAGGGTTCCTGTTCTCTTTTCCTTTTCCTGTATTCTTTTTCCCTGCTCCTGACTGCCCTTAGTCTTCCTTTTGTTGAAAGCAAAAAGAAGTGGGTAGAGTTCACAAGTTTGCTAAATTCTTATTTTTTTGGTCCTAACTCTCATTTCTGGGCAAAATATATAAGGATGTGCTTTGTACTTTTCAGATCATGGAAGACATAATCAGAAAATGTTTGGAAACCACTGAGAACTTGTCCTTGAAATCAATTGCATTTCCAGCCATAGGAACAGGCAATTTGGGGTTTCCTAAAACTGTTTTTGCTGAATTAATCACTTCAGAAGTGTTCAAATTCAGTAGCAACAATCAGCCAACAGCTTTACAGGAGGTTTGCTTTCTGCTGCACCCGAATGATCACGCGAATATTCAGGTATGACCTCACTCATTTCTGGTTGTTTTGGCAATTTGAGCCCTAATGGTATCCAGTGTCTTCTTAGTGTATTAGGTTGTTTCTTTCATGTTATTTCTCATATAGGAAAGTAAAAAGAGCACAGTAGACTAGTTTTACCATGGCAAGTTTCAAGCAAATTTATGGATATAAGAAAAATTTTAACTTCTTATTAAGGAAAATTTTAAACATACACAAAAGTACACATAATATATAGTATAATAAAACCCCCTTCTACCCATCACTTATCTTCACAACTATCATCTATGGTTAATATGTTTTATCTCTATCTTCATTTATTCTACTTTTCTCCCTATTATTTTGAAGCAAATCCCAGATATACATTTTACCCATAAACAATTCAATATTTACCTTTAAAAGTAGCATAGCCACAGTACTATTTCACACATAAAAGAAATTGACAATCATTCCTTTATTTCATCAGTTATCAAGTCAATGGTCAAATTGCCAACTATCTCATAAATGTTTTGTTTTTACAGCTTGTTTGTTTGAATCAGAATCTAAATGAGGCTTACATATTGCAATGGAGTTGACATATCTTTAATTCTTTTTTAATTGGTAGGATTCCCTTCCATATAAACACAGGAATTTTTATACATAATATAAAAGCACAGTTGTGGTCTTACAATAGGAGATTGTCAGGATGGAATACAACTGAAGGGTGTAGTTAGAATGAACTCAGCACATCCCCGTGGGAGTAGAAGTGGGACCAGAAGTACTAGAACCATCTTCAGTCACTGAGTCCATTGACCAGCTCCCATCTGCTGAACACCAACCATGGGGGAGCTGTCGGACTCTATCATGGGAGAACAAAAGGTATTTGATGAGGCCCTTGTCCCTGCCCTCCAGGTCCTTAGAGTCCAGTAGTGTAAACGACATTAAATGTTTGAAAAGTTCCATGGCAGTGCAAGAATTAAACAAATAGATTAAGGCCAGCAGCCCAGGAGATGTCCATGGATCATTGGATTATGAATTTTTAGGTCATACTTAATTTTTCTCTAGATGTAAATACTACTTTTAAGTTCTTTGAGAGCAAGCAAATCTTAAATCTAAATTCTAATCAGACAGCCAAACCACCTGAGCAAAAGATGTGATCCATTTAGTTGCTCTACATAACTATAGTAATTTCTAGTCAATAAACACTTTTTGAAGAACTCTCCGACTTGCATTATACAAGGTGATGTGGAACATGGAATGGGTGTGTAACACTTATGCTTCTCCTCTTGTAACTGTAATTACTTTGGGAGCTCAGGTTTATACATAAAGTGAACTAAGTCAGAGACAAAGTCCTGAGTGGTTTTGAATGGGTAAACGGGGGAGTGAGTCCTATGACATAGACCTGAACCTTCAAATTTCACTATTTCTGTATAACCCCAGATCCTATTTTCTTTCCCAAAGACTCAGGTTCCTCTGCAAGTATTCTGTAGAAGGATTAGTCTATATAGACACCTTTACTGCTATTAGAAATCACACTTTTTCTCTTAAGACTTTTAAAGACAGTTAAACTCTGGTTATAGTTGCATTATAGTTACACACACACACACACAACTTACTGAGATTTGTACTGGTGCACACTGTAACAGGTTGCACAACAGAAGCCTGTGGTCTGAATGTGGCCTTGAAATGTGCTGTATTTGTACTGGCTTAAGAAAAATTTGAATCAGTTGCTAATATTTAAAACTCAAACATTTCACGTAGAACTGCAGAGGCTCAACTTGACCTAAAATTTGAATGTTCTGGCACACTGGACATGGCTTTCTCTGTGGCTTTGTGGCAGGCGGTGCAGTCCTCCAGTCCACCTTTGCACTTGCCGCTTACCTTCCTGGCCCCTGGCAGTCTGTGAGCCTGACTCCCTGGCTCCACAGTCTCTCCCACTCCCTCTCCCTTTATTGTATCAACCTTTCAGCCATGTTATGTTTCTTTAACCAATAAAATTCTCCATTGCTCGTTTACAAGGAGGAAGAAAGTGATGATTTTGGTGTGTTACTATCAGTCACTGAAATGGAATTCACTGGATCTTTAACCCTGAAATAGAGCCTCTTGCTGCACAATGCACTGCTCCCCTAGCTGACCCTCTCCTGGCACGAATAAGAAGTCAAAATTGAAGTGCTTGGGTCCTTGTGGTTGTCTTTCCCTTAACGCTGTATTTCTAACAACTGGCGAGTTATTTGCTCTGATTATGAAAGTAATACATATTCATTGTAGAAGCTTTGAACAATATGAAATGCATCAATTCATTTAGTCATATTTCATTCTAGTCTTCTATACATGTGCACTTTGTAAAATGGTGTCATATAATGAAAGGTACTCTTCTTTCATTCAGTGGTATAAAGTATTTCCCTATTCCATTAACTGTTCTTTGAAAATGCACTTCTTAGTGTGCTAAATATTTTAACACATAGATATACAAAACTTTATTTAAACATTTCCCTACTGGACTTCATTTTTTTCTTGATTATAAAAGCACTGTAATGAGTATTTTTGTATTTATATCTTTGTTTTTATCTTTGATAATTTTCATGAGATACTTTGTAGAAATAATATATGTATTTTTATAGCTTTAAAATCAATAATGATAATAAACAGTATTTTGAGAATTGTTCTCTTGTAAATATTTGTGGATGCAAGATCAAAAACTGTGATGAATCAAATTCATTCATCTACATAGGACTGTAGTAGTCAAAACTGTCTTTGTAATTCCAGGCATTTTCAGATGAATTTGACAGAAGGGCTAATAAAAACTTCGTCAGTGACAAAATTCCCAAGGCTGAGAATACACAAGGTTCAGTAAAGATTTTTTTCATTTTTATTTTATTCCTTTTTTGTTGTTCTTATTTGTTTGTTGTTTCTGTGGGGGTTTAATAAAGATTTTAAATTGAGAAATTATTTCTAGTTGTTAAATAACTATTTAACAATAAGTGAAAGATGATAGTGATGATTTTTATGGAAAAATCATTTTGTGATAATGATATTAAATTATATTCCATACACCTGAGCATGCAAGACATTGGCCATGTTTGTGTGATCTGAGTGGACGAGCAAGCAGGCCAAGTTAGATAATGTGCAATGGGTTTTTAAGTAGGGATGAGGCTACTATTTTCTAGGGATGATGTGACATGTGTTTTCAGAAATGGACACATTTAAAGAGATAATGCCAACCAAATGCTTCTCTGTCAGCTTTGCTGTTACATATTTGACTTTCTCCTATTTGGAGTTTGCCGAGGCTTCTTGAATCTGAATCTGCATGCCTTCCATCAAATGTGGGACTTTTTCAGTGATTTCTTCAAATATTTTTCCTGCACTGGTCTCTCTCTCCTCTCCTGTGCTCCAGTAACATAAATTTTAAGCCTTTTGTTACCACTCCCTGAGAATCTGTTCCTTTTCCTCTTTTAATCTTTTTTTCTCTCTGTTCTTCAGATTAGCTTTTATTGACCTACCTCCAAGTTCACTGATTCATTTCTCTGCTACACTATTGAGCCTATCCAGTGAATTTTTTTTTACTTCAGATATTGTATGTTTAAGTTCTAAAATGTCCATTTGATTCTCACTTTATATTTTTCTGCAGATACTCCTGTTTTTCCATTAGTTCAAAATCATTTCCATTCATTCAAATATGTTATCTTTGACCTCAGGGAGCATATTTATAGTAGATACTTTAAAGTCTTTGATAATTCCAACATCTGGATCATCTTGAGATTAGCACTTGTACTGAGTACCTTTATCCTTGAGAACTAATCGCATTTTCTTGGTTCTTTATATAACAAGCAGTTTGGGATTATAGGCTGGTTATTTTAAATATTATGTTGTGAAACTTGGGTCTTGTTAAATCCTCTGGAAAATGGTGGTGGTTGTTTTAGCAGGCAGGCAGTCGGTTAAGTTCATTCTAACAGTTCTGTCTTGCTTTGTGGGTGGGCAGCGGCTGCAATGTCACTTAAGTTCTCAAAGCCTTTGCTGTGCTTCTTGGGACTGTTCCCACATGTGCAGCTCTGGGGTGGCTCAGGATTTATTCCAGTTCATCACAGAAGAGGGGATCACCTTCTTCAGGACTCCCCTCACACTCTCTGGCTTGCAGGGGCCCATTTTCCAGCCTCTCGCCGGAGAGACAGTGCTCTCGTGGAGTTTAAGACACCTGTTCTGTTGCCTCATAACTTTGTGTGATCAGGGTTGCCCTTGGGCAAAGTGGAGAGAGAAAAGAGAAGAAATAACAGAGATTTCCCACACACCCATATACACTTTTCAGTCCACAAGGGCCCTTTTTTTCTGATTCTTCTGGGTAGAAACAAAGAATGCCTCTCAGAATTTTAGCTGCCTGTGGTGCCACTATTGTGTTCTGCAACTGGGGTCACCTTGAAGGTAGGGTCTGGATTAACAAGGAAAATAAGGAAGATGCCTGCTGTACTCTTCAGCTCACAGGACCCCCTCTTCTCAGTCCTCCAGCCACAAAGATGGGGATCCTCTGAGAGTTTTGTTCCCTGAGCTCACTGGGCGATTCCACAACTAGGGCCATCCTTGGGTCAAAGGTGGGAGAGAAATAAGGAAACATTTCAAAACAAAACTCCCCTCTGTACAGGTTGCCTCTTTAGGTTTTGACGCTGGTCCCCAATCTGTCTGCATTTTACTTTTCAGAACTCAGTTGGGGCGTTTTGTCTTTGTCTCATGCTTCAGCTGCAATCGGTGGGAGAGAGAGGCTCTAGCAAGCTGACTTCACTTTGGCCATCACCAGAGGTCCCCATTTGATATGCATTACATTATAACCCTTTTTCAGAGACAGACTGTCTTTGGGGTCATGGGTCAGGACCAGGTGAAAGGCCAGAGATATGGGGGTTGGCAGAGAGAGAGAGAAGTATGGGTGGGGCACATGTGAGCAATGTAGACCTAAGTCATTCTGGCTGTTGTGGACTTGATTATGGACTTCATTTTCTTTCTTTTCAGGTTGCTACAGTGCTGTAACTAGCTCTGATTTAGGAGTGCATGAAATGAAAATTGGTCCCATCACCTTCCAGGTGGCGCCTGGAGATATTACTAAAGAAGAGGCAGATGTGATTGTTAATTCAACATCAAAGACATTTAATCTCAAAGCAGGTACTTTACTTTTTGATTTTTATTAGTTTAATAATCATAGTAGATCCCATGAAGGAGGGTTCCTATAGCCAAAATATTGTACAGTTTCTATAGACAAACTGGTTTCTACAACTTTGGCTCATTAATATTAACTAATAATTTAAAAATTATTTTGACATGGTTTCTTATCATTGGTAACAGTTATTTATGAATTTTTCTTCTTTGTGATCAGAAATACTCAGGTTATAGGATTTCTTTGATGATGGGGAAGGCATTTAGACAATGAGGCAATCATTCTGATCCAAATGTACTGTACTGAGTTTTTTAATCCATGTTTGTAACCATGTTGATGTTCTCATGCAGGGGTCTCCAAAGCAATTTTGGAACAGGCTGGGCAAGATGTGGAAGCAGAATGTCTTCGCCTAGGTAAGGCACAGTGCAGTTTTTTGGTCCTAAATAATAGGTGGAAGGCTGAAAATGGAGGCTATAGAGAGGCTGGGGATTAGGGAGATAACATATTAATCTTAAAATCACATTTTTTACTAAAGAATTCCAGTCATAGAGAATTAGAAATGAAAGGAAGTGAAAAATGAAATCACGGTTGAAAAGAGAAGGTAAGCAAGAAACATTCATTAAAGGTAGTATTGCAGGAATTTCTTATTCATATAAAATGCTTTATTTGCCAAAAGAGACCTTTTGCTTTCTAAATAACCAGAGAATGGGTTTAGAATCTGATTTTGCATCTTTTTGTTTTGTGTTTCTTAGCTCAACAGAGCAACAATGATTATATAATTACCGGAGGTGGATTACTAAAGTGCAAGAGTATTATTCATGTCTCTGGTGGAAGTGATGTCAAGAGATTGGTTTCCTGTATTTTGCAAGAGTGTGAAAACCGGAATTACTCGTCCATTTGCCTCCCAGCCATTGGGACAGGTTTGTAGCCTCTTGAGGCTAAATTCCTAGGTATACCCTTTCCCTTGGATTTGACGCCAACACAAATGTAGCTCATGCTAACTCTGAGGAAGGGCAGCTTCCTCACCCCAAGGCAGCCACTAAGGGAATCAGCAACAACTGTGAATGGTTTAAGTGGAAAAAGAAGAAAAAATGAAAAAAAAAACAAAGAGAGTGTTGGAATATTAAGGAGACATTTGCTCTTTAATATGGCAGGGGAGGGACAAAAAAAGAGGGGAAAGGAGCCAATAGAAAGTGAGGCCATTCCTCTTTCTCTTTTCCTCTGTTCCTGTCTCTTTTTTCCAGCCCCTACATATACCCCATCATTTAGTCCTTAGCTTCCCACTCCATCCCTTCTCCATGGAGAACATCAGTGTATCAACCTCCACGCCCCGTAACTGACTCTGATGTGAGAGTTTCCAGCCCTCTTCTCTCACCTCTTCAGCAGTGGCTGTGTAGCTTGCCTTAGGGCATTGCTGCACAGAACTCTGTCAATCACCATAACACAATGGGTCAGAAACTCGCCACCTTCCTCTTTTTGGCCTACTTGCCTTTTTGGAGTTTCCTGTTTTCCTCAAACTATATAATGAGTCTGTGATTGACTCTTCATATATAAAGGTGATGCTTTGGGTTTATCATTAGTAAGGTGATGCCCTTTAAGCTCTTTTCCTAGAAATCTGAGTCATGTGCATTGATCAGGAATTTTTGCTTGGTCTCCCTTAAGAGAGCTGTTCAGGAGAGGCAAACAACCTCAGGCCTGAAGGATAGTGGAGCTGACGGGTCCCAGAGAGAGAACTCTGGGCACTGGATTGATCATTCCGTTGCTCAGGAATCTAAATTCTAATGTCTGTACTGGCATGCTAGGCCCTCCAAAGTTTAGTCTTGTCATTTCTGGGCCTTCTCATCCTGTATCCCATATGTTGACTTATGTAAATCTCTACCATTCCTCTTAATGTTCCCACGTGGAATGCTATATCTACTTTATTTCTTTGTATTTAAAAAAATATAATTTATAGTCCCTTTATGTTTTCATTACCCTGTAATATCATTCAATCCTAGCAGATTAGCCAACATGTTATCTGTCTGTCGGTCTATGTATCTGTCATCTGTTGTGGACACTCACTGATGACTCCCCAGTCTTTGTCTTCATTTGCTTTTTCCTCTTTGTTCTGGTCTTGTGTTTCCACCTTAACTTTATGTGGGCCAAGAAAGCAGGCAGCCCAGGGCTGTCATAGCTCTTCCCAAGGGAGTCTGCTGGGTGGAGCCAAAGAGAAGCAAAGAACTCAGGTGGTTTTGTATAAATATGTACACATCTTTTAGTATGTCTGGATTACTGCAAACCTCTTGTTCCTTCCACCAACCTGGTGGCATTGCTGTTCTGCACAAATAAATGCCTGTTAGCAAGTTTACCTGTATCTTTCACCATTTGAACTTGTCCTTATACTCCTGGATGGGGAAGCTTTCTCCCTTAGTGGTATTTATGAGTTGAGTTTGACTTGGATCAAGACAAACTTCTGGCAGTAAAAAATACCCTCTACCTGTTACCCACAGATACCTGCTCTCAGGGGAGAGAATGGGTGGTCAGTGATTCCTGCAAGCACCTCAAGGTCAATGCAAACTCCAAACTCCAATCCACTGTCTCCTCCCCCAAACCTCATCTTTCTGTTACATCCCTGATTATGTTAAAAGCATCACTTTCTATCTAGAATCCTTGACTCTACCCTTTTTATCACTCCCATGTTCATTTGCTTATTAATTAGTTTGATGGAACATTTTTGAGTGCCTGTCATGTGCCAGGCACTGTGCTGAGACATGAGAGACAGAAAGATGACTAAGAAAAGGATGCAGTCCACAAGGAGCATCTAGCTTATCATGAGAGGCAGGCATATAAGACAACAACACAATACAGCATGCCTGTAATAAACACAGGAAGGTGTGTGGGTGGCAAAAAAGGGGGAGAAAGGTCAAGGGTACACACAGTTGGTCACTAGGTCCTGCTGACTTTACTTCTAAATGTCTCCTCGCCCCCTATACCCTCATCTTTATTCCAGCCCCCTCTCTTTTTCCAGCTCTTGCCTTTTGCCTAAACTTTCATTATAGCCTCCTATCTAGACCTGAGCTCTCTGCTCCAGTGCTTCCTGTTCCCACCACCTTCCCCACCCCAGATTGATTTTTCTTGAAAACAGATCTATTTTCCTGAACACACAAGGTTGAACTTGAGCAAATCATACCTTCGTTACACAGTTCTAGGCTCTCCCTCAATTTTCCATACTTCACCTGGTGAATATCTGTTCATCCTTACATATCATATCCTTTGTGTCCTAAGTGCCTAGATGAGAATCTAGCTTTTGATGAGACACAGTAAATGTTTGTAGAAAGTGAGTGAATATATTTAAATACTCCAACTTAAATTCTTCCAGATATCATGAGATAACCACAGCTTTGCAAAGGAGAATTTCCCTCTTTCACTGCTCTCTAATTAAAAAACCAATCAAACAAAGAAAACCTGAACAAATCTTCTTTGTTAGTTTTATATGGTATTTGTCTATGTTCTCACAATTATCTACACAGGCAAGTCAAAGGGCTCTACTCTTATTCCTGCAACAGTGGTGGGCACCATCAATGGGGATAATCCAAGTGGGCCCTGAGTCTATCATACCGGTTTGGCCAAGGGACTTTCACATTGCTAACCGCCCTCCCTCCTGCCCCTCACCCCGTGTGACAGCTGCCATTCATATGGGAGTTCTTCCATGGTTTTTATGAGACTTTTCAAGGAACTTTTCATGATCTTACCTAGACAGTAGGTTGGAGAAACAAGGTATAGAGCATGCTTAATTAGGAAAAGACCAGGTCAGGTGGCAACTGTGAACCCTGCTAGTCAGCTAAAAGTTCACCAGGTGTGAGAAGAAAGACTTCCTGGAAGCTCATGGACAACCTTCATGTAAAAAAGTATATAGCTTATAGTTCCAGGTGTCTTACAAAATGATCTTAGTGTAAATCAAGTCCCTAAAGACTTCTGGAAGAATAAGGATACATGTGTAAAGAAAGTGATGATTGAGCAAAAAAATTTATTGTTGTCTTTAAAGAGCATGATATTTCAACATATATTAGCATCTTTTACTTTTAATGGATATTTTGAGGACACTAGTGAGCCAAGAAAGATTAAGTGTGCTTTGCAACACAGAGGAACACAGTGAGCTGGGATCCGCTGAGTAGAGCAGATTCAACATTGGACACCAAAAGTTAGATTTCTCGGTCCTTTGTTCATTGCGGGGCTGTTGGCTTCTTGAAAGGAACTCTCCATTGCCTCTAGGAGTTCAAAAGTGTTTGCTGATGCATTGTTAGAAAAATCTGTGGAGATAAAAAAAATTGGGGGAGTGTGGATTCATTCTTGTGAGAATTAGAATTCCTAATTTATTCTTCACCCTTTTTCAGTTGGGTCTTTTTTTAATTCTAGTCATTTTTATTTGTCTTCCCAGGAAAAGCTAAACAAGACCCAGATAAGGTTGCTGAAGCCATAATGGATGCCATCAAAGACTTTATACAGAAAGGATCAGTCCAGTCTGTGAAAAAAGTTAAAGCTGTTATCTTTCTGCCTCAAGTACTGGACGTGTTTTATGCCAACATGAAAAAAAGAGAAAACTCTCAGCCTTCTCCCCTGCAGTCTATGATATATAAAGTTGCATGTGAGTTGTTGATTTTTATGAAATGCATGTTCCTAACATTGATGTCACATGAGAAATAGCTAAAATTCTATATTATTAGCTCCCCCAGTTTTATTGAGATGCAATTGACATCCATTACTGTATAAGTTTAAGGTGTACAGCATAATGGTTTGACTTACATATATCACTGCAATATATTTAGTTAGCATTCATCATCTCACACAGTTACAATAAAAGAGAAAGCAAAAAAGGAATTTTTTCCTTGTGGTGAGAGCTCTTAGAATAAATAGCTTTCACATATATCATACAGCTGTGTTAACTATAGTTATCTCCAGTACTTACTTATCTTGTAACTGGTAGCTTGTACCTTTGACCACCTTTCTGCAATTTCCCCTTCCCCCAACCCACCCCTGAGAATCACACATCTGATCTCCTTTTCTATGACTTTGGGTTTGTTGTTGTTGCTTAGATTCCACATATAAGTAAGGTTTTATGGTATCCGCCTTTTTCTGCCCAACTTGAAAAGGCTAATCTTTAATAAACTATCAGAAAGAAAAATTAAGAAAATAATCACATTTACAACTGTATCAGAAAGAATAAAATACTTAGGAATAAATGTAACCAAAGAGGTGAAAAACCTGTACACTGAAAACTGTAAGACACTGATGAAAGGAACTGAAGAAGACACAAATATATGGAAAGATGTGTTTTGCTCAGGTATTGGAAGAATTAATATTGTTAAAAAGTCCCTACTTCCTAAAGCAATCTACAGATTCAGTGCAATCTCTACCAAAATTCCAATGTCATTTTTCACAGAAATAGAACAGACAATCTTAAAATTCATATGGAACCACAAAGACCCTGAATAGCCAAAGCAATTTTGAGAAAGAACAAAGGTGGAGGCATCACAATTCCTGATTCAAAGTCTGTAACAATTGAGAAGCTATAGCAATCAAAACAGTATAGTATTGGTATAAAAACAGACACATAGATCAATGGAAGAGAATAGAGGACCCAGAAACAAACCTGTGCACATATGGTCAATTAATTTACAACAAAAGAGCCAAGAATATACAATGGGAAAAGGATAGTCTCTTTAATAGTTAGTGTTGGGTGCTCACTCCGGTAGCACATATGCTAAAATAAGTTGTGTTAGAGAAACCAGACAGCCATGCAAAAGAATAAACTCGTCACTGTCTGATACCACTCACAAAAATATGCTCACAATGGATTAAAGACTTGATTGTAAGACCTGAAACCATAAAATTCATAGAAGAAAATATAGGGGGTAAGCTTCTCAACATCAAAAATACAAAGAGCAAAAGCAAAAATAAAGAAGTGGGGCCACATCAAACAATAAAGCTTCTGCACAGCAAAGGAAACCATCAACAAAATGAAAAGGCAACTGAGTGAATCAGAGAAAATATTTGCAAATCACATACCTGAGAAGGGATTAATATCAAAAATATACAAAGAACTCATATAAGTCAATAGAAAAAAACAAATAACCCAATTTAAAAATGGGCAGAGGACACAGATAGACATTTTTTCCCAAAGAAGACATATAAATGGCCAATATGAACATGAAAAGGTGCTCAACATCTCTAATCACTGGGGAAATGCAAATCAAAACCATCATGAGATATCATCGCACATTAGAACGCTATACAGAAAAGACAAGAAATAAGTGTTGGCAAAAATGTGGAGAAAAGGGAACTTTTGTGCACTGTTGGTGGGAATGTAAATTGGTGCAGCCACTGTGGAAAACAGTATGGAGGTTCTCTCAAAATTAAGAATATAACTACCACATGATCCAGCAAGGTCACTTCTGGGCATTTATCTGAAGGAAATGAAACCATTATCTCGAAAAGTATCTGCTGCCCCATGTTTACTGAAGTATTGCATAGCCAAGACACAGACACAACCTTCTGTCTGTTGCAAACGAATGGGTAAAGAAGATGTGATGTGCACACACATGGGGTCAAACATAGGTTTACAGTCTTGAGTGTGTGAAACAGTTCATTCTTGTATTATTATTTGTTATTGCTTGTATTATTTTTCATACAATTATAATTTTGCCATATCCTGTATATATGATGGAATATTATTCAGTCATAAAAAAGAAGGAAATCCTGCCATTTGCAACAATATGGATGGTCTCTGAGGGCATTATGCTAAATGAAGTAAGACAGAGAAAGACGAGTAATGTATGATATCTCTAATATGTGGAATCTTAAAAAAACAACTCATAGATACAAAGAATAGATGGGTGGTTACCAGAGGTGGGGTGGTAGTGGGGGCAAAATGGGTGGAGGGGGTCAAAAGGTGCAAACTTCCAATCATAAGATAAGTCAGTCCTGGGGATGTGTTGTATGGCCCAGTAACTGAACAAGAAAAAAGCTGGAAAGAAGGGAGGGAGGGAAGCAGGAAGGAAAAGAAAAGTAGCTAATAGCAAAAATTTTTTTAATCCAAACATTTGTTGCATTCCCTTTTCTTTTCTTTTTTAGCATTGTTTGGCCTTTCAAAGCAAACTACCAAAACACAAAAGCCTTTGGTTTTGGAAAAGAAAACAGAATCAGCAGTTTTTCAGGTGTGCGGTGAAAATGAAAAATGTGTGGATAGTGCCCTCTCCTGTATCGAGGATCTGATAAAAAATGAACAGAGTATTTACACCAGTGAAGACGAATGTATCAAAGACTTTGATGAAAAGGAATGTCAGGAATTGATTAAGCTGAACGAGAAATTGAGTATTAGCATTTCCTGGGACGCTGAAACACCTTCGATTAAGGTGACAGGAATTAGCAGAGACGTGGAACAGGCTGGGAAGGCAATTGAGGAGATGATCAGAACAGTCAGAGCAGCCAGAGAGCAGGAATCCAGAGCAGACTATGTCAGTGAGTTTGTAGAGTGGCAATATAATGACAATAACGCTTTTCACAATTTTGACAAAATGACCAATCTGCAATTGGAAGATGCAAAAAAAGCCAAGAAAAGTACAGTTAATGTCAAAATTAATAATCAGAGCTACACTGTGGACTTGAAATCATACGTCGCTATAGATGCGAAGGGACACAGTTTACCTGTTCAGCGCCTCACAAAACCTGAAGGTGAGTCAAACCTTCGTGCTTGTTATCCATTATTTTACACTTCCTTTGGGCTTAACATTCTTGTACATACATCAAAATTGTATTCAAATAGATAAAATTCAAGTAACCTTTACAGAATAAAATAGAAAACTTTGTCTCTCAGCTTAAGAAGCTCATATTATGGCTGGGAAAATACAGCACGGGAGCCCCACGGCCCGAGGATGACGATCTTAGTGGTAACACTAGCCAAACCTTGCATTTTTACCGCTCACAAGCTTCCCAGAGCCAGTCCTTCTGGGTGGTAACGGCTGCTTCTGTTAGGAGAGGGAAAGCCATGAGCTTCAAAGTGGCCCCAAGTTTTATAGAACAAAAGGCAGAAGACAGCTTGGTCAGAGAGTGGACACTCACTTTCTGTATCTGTAATTGATACCCAGAGAGGATCGGGAGCCTGTAGGATCTCTCAGAAGCTAACTCCCTCCTCTGCCCTGAAAATAAGATTCGTTGACACACACATCAGCCTTCAGATTCTCTGGCTGGATCTGCTTCCTGAGAAGGGAATGCTTGTCCTTCACTGAAAGGTAGTAAAATATGGCTTCCCCTCCAGTACGTTATTTTCATCTCTTGTGAGATCAGTGTGAATGAACTCCTCAGACCCTGGGCAGCCCTGGAGAAACGAGAAGTCAGGAATGATACTCTGTTTAGCAGAAGGGGAGGCAGAGCTGCTACCGCAAACTGCCACATAGCAAAACCCACCACCCACTCAACTCTTAGGGAGTTGTGAGGAACAATGAAAGAACAGATGCGGAGGGCCTTGCAGAGGGGAGTTCTGGCAAAAATCCATGCACTGTAAATAAGACAATGGTGACTATTTAAAACATCATAGGGAAATGATTTGTTGTTACGTTATTAACTTACGACAGATTGGAGACTGCTGGGTCTCACTGTACCATCAGTCTCAGATCCAAGCATGATTGAAACTTGTTAAGATGTAGGGACACATGTTCTGCCCCTCAGAGATTTTGATATAATAGATCTGTGTTTTGTTTTTTTTTAACAAGCTTCATGGTTGGCTCTGTGGTTGTCTGTGGTTCATGCTTGAGAAACATTCTCCTGGAAAGCTAAGAAATTGTCTTGAACACATTGAACTAGGAGATTGTAAAATAAGAACACAAGGGGTACTCAGTTTTTCAAAGCATACGGGGAAGGTGGACTGTGTAGATGAGCCGTCCTGGGTGAAGAGTATCCTCAAATGTCTACTTTGCAGTTGAGGTCCCTGCTCACTGGTGTGATATGAAGCAGCAGTGTGTCCGTCTGGTTGAGCTATCGCCTGGTCATGCAGAATACGACGAAGTGGCAAATGTGTTTAATCAGACCTGCTCAAATTTCAAGATTGAGAAGGTAAGCCTTCTGGTGGCATGGAGTTTCTTAATGGTAGAAGTAAGGGGTATTGTGGTCCTGGATATATGCATTTTGATTCATTTCCTAACATATTTTTAACCCAGAATTAGAATATTTTATGGTAATTACATTTTAGATTGTAGATTCTACTCATGTCACCATAATTACTGAGACATTTAAGGCTGAAATTCTTGTGTCAGTTATTACAATATAACAGGTTACCATATGATATTAGAATACTAAAGACATGTTTCCTTTGTAAAGCAAGCTAATAAAAATTCAGAGATACGGCTTTAAAGTCGGAGTTGATAAGGAGCAAACCCCCACAGAGAGACACACAAAGGCTCCTCAGCTCAGGATCATTTATGTGCCTCTGCCCCACTGGCCACAGACCAGCACTGCTTGTTTCCTTAGGAAATTCATTGGTCCTTTCATTGTTCATCTCATCTATTTTGGCAACTTCCACCCTTAAAAATTAATATTGCTCTTTGAAATTTATATTCTTTCTTGACCTCTGTGGCAATATTATGTTGATGCTTTCTTCTTCATTAAATCTCTCTTCATTATCATTGGTACCTCTTCCTCCTCCAAACCCCTACCCCAGCTTTACCCACAGGATTTCTCCTTTGGTCTTGTGTCTCTGCACTTCACCAGGTAGTGTTTTTACTCTTCTTATGTGCAGCTATTATTTCAATGTTAATAGTTCTGAAATCAGCATATTACCAATGTGGATCTTTGACTCCAGCTCTAGAACATATTCTCAGTGGCCTAAAAAAACAAAACCAAAAAACTCCACTTGGTTATCTATCTGCTAAATCAATTTCCCTAAAACCTAATTCATCATCTCTAAGTAATTATCTTTTCCCGTCCTTCTCCTTTCTGTCCTTGGTCCCCCCACTTTCTGAGTAAAGCTAGAGATTTGAGTACCTTCTTTTCACCCATAATAATGAGTGTGCCAGTAAAGTCTGCATTTCCTTTTTTTTGCAGACTTTCTATTTGCACTGACACCATTCTGTTTATTCATGTAGTTAAGCACATAATAATTCAAAAAAGATTTGAAGTGTCCTGAAAGATATATACTATATGTTCAGATAAAATAAATAGATGAAGAAAATGGACAAAGAGAACAGGAGAATAGGGAAAATAAGATAACACTGAAATATTGTTATTTCACAAAAATACATAACAGGAAGTTCTAGATAGTTACCAGAGGAGGTCCACCAAGTTTGCCCCTTAGCTTCCTAGTAGACAAAGCAAAGAAGTAAATAACCAGCTACAAGATTCATAATCTTGTCCACAAATCAAAAAGCAAACCACTTGATCAGGAGACTCACAGCTTTTCATAGTCTTGAGACTGACTCCTGATGGATTTATCCTGTGAATCAAGTACTGGAGAGTATCTTCAAAATCATCCTCACAATAAATTAAATATCGAATTTTATACCACTTTAAAAAATCTCTCAATGTAAACCAGTTGAGCAAAAACAATTCTATGAGGCAGTAAGACAATGTGATTCAAGTGTGATTTGGTGCTGAGATGACACATAGGTTTCTTTCCAAACACCATCTGATGGTAGCCTACTGGCACGCTGTGATGCGATGCCAAGCCCAGCCAGCAGGACCGTCCTGCTGACCAGCAGTGGCTGCGGTGCCCTGGAGGCTTGCCATGTGCTGTCAGGCCTTCGCCAGAGAAATGACTTCACTCCTCTTTTGTAGTGGAATCCTTGTTTAAAAGAAAAAAAATTATGTGAAATCTTGGTGTACGACACCAATAAAAGCAGAGCTAGGTAGTACTTAAGGCACCTCTGTGGAGGTCTCTAGTCGTGTGAAAACATTAACGTGAAAAATGGATGGTCTGTCATCCTCCATGACTGTTATGTCTTGTGACTACAATTTGTAACATTCATAAACTTCCACTTGGATTCAAACATTTTGCCATGTTTGCTTTTCTCCCCTACTTTCAGATTTTGCTGAAGCATTTGAAAGTAAGTTGTCATGCAGACATCATGACACTCCTAAATATTTTAGCACATATCTCCTGAGAATAAAGACACGTTCCCAAATAACAGATACCATTATCCCATGTAAGAAAATAAAATTAATTCAATAATTTCCAATATACAAGCCATAGTCAAATTTTTCCAATTGCTGAAAACATTTTTCTTTTAATTCTCACCGCCCCCCTCCCTCATCTGGGTTCAGACACTGCATTTAGTGATTATGCCTCCTTCATCTCTTCTGATCTGGAACAGTACTCATCTTACTGCACTTTAAAGTATGTTTTTATGACACTGAATTTTTAAAAAAGTTTAAGCCCCTCTTGTTACAGAAAGTCTCACATTCTGGCTCTGCCAGTTGTTGTCTTTTTTTTTTAAGGACCCAAGCCAGTTTTCTTATAAGCTCTAGATTTGTCTGACTCTTCCTAGTGCCATTTAGTTTATTCCTCTATCCCCTTTATTTCTGGTAAACCAGAAATTAGGTTGAAGGGCTTGGTTAAATTCAGGTAAATATTTTTTTGTAAGAAAATTTCACGGGTGACATGTCACGTGAAGCTTCACATGTTAAGGTGGTTACACTATTAACGAGGCTAAGTGTGACCACTAGTTAGGGGGCGCCCACCGTATCTTCCCATTGGCATCAGTCGGTGATCTGTGGGATAACACTCTAGAGTAAGTACCCTATTTCCCAGCAACCTTTTATGGATTAACTATAACATTTATTGATGATCCTTTCCTAAATCCATTTTTACAGTGGAGGTTGAAAATGGTAATCTTTTAGTTCTGTCATTTCTTCTGCATTTTTTATCTGGCACTTTTATAAAGAAGAAATTTTCTTATCTCTTGCTTAAAAAATCAGTATGTTATACTTAATTATAGTGATTATTCCTTTAGATGCACAAGTTAATCTACATTTGGCTAGTAGGGACCCTTTCAAATTGGCTCTGAGGTCCTTTTGATGGCCCCATTAATCTTTCAGCATTTCTTCACTTTCTGGCACAAGATCTCTTCAGCTCACCTTTTGCTTCCTCTGTCTTAGGCTGGACTCAGACATTTCCCTAAGAAATCCTGATTCTATTTAGCGGGGAATAGTAGTGAGATAAAACAACCCAAGTGAAAAATGGGCAAAGGACCTGAACAGACACTTCTCCAAGGAGGACACACAGAGGGCCCAGTGACATATGAAAGGATGCTCAGCATCATTAGCCATCAGAGAGTTGCCCTGACTCATGTGGCTCAGTGGATTGAGTGAGGGCCTGTGAACCAAGGGGTTTCTGGTTCGATTCCTTGTCTAGGGCACATGCCTGGGTTGTGGGCCAGATCCCCAGTAGGGGGTGTGTGAGAGGCAACCACACATTTGTGTTTCTTTCCCTCTCTTTCTCCTTTCCCCTCTCTCTAAAATAAGAGAGAGAGATGCAGATTAAAACCACAATGAGATGCCACTTCACGCCAGTCAGAATGGCCACCATAAACAAATCAACAAGCAACTAGTGCTGATGAGGTTGTGGAGAAAAAGGAATCCTAGTGCACTGTTGGGATTACTAACTCAGAAAACTAAAAATGGAACTGCCTTTCCACCCGACAATAGCACTGTTGGGATTATATCCTAAGGATCCTGAAACACCAATTCAAAAGAACCTGTGCACCCCAATGTTCATAAAAGCACAATTTACAATACAATAGCCAAGTGCTGGAAGCAACCTAAGTGTCCATCAGTGAACAAATGGATCAAAAAACTGTGGTACATTTACATAATGGAGTGCTACATAGCAGAAAGAAAGAAGGAGCTCTTATCCTTTGTGACAGCATGGATGGAACTGGAAAGCTTTATGCTAAGTGAAATAAGCTAGGCAGTGAAAGAGAAATACCATATGATCTCACCTATAATCAACAAAACAAGCAAGCAAAATACAACCAGAGACACTGAAATAAAGAACAAACTGACAGTAACCAGAGAGGAGGAGGGAAAAGGGTAATAGGGGAAAATATGGGAAGGGCCATCGAGGAACATGTATAAAGGACACATGGACAAAGCCAAAGGGGGTAGGTTCAAGGGTGGGAGGCGGGGATGAGTGGGGTGGGAGGGTGTGGTGGGGTAAAAATGGAGACTACTGTACCTGAACAATAAAAATATATATATAAATGCTATGAACTTTTAAAAAATAGGCATGTATAATATCACAAAACACTTTTATCAGTTTTGAAAAGTCAAGCTAATATAAGCTACATCCTGTAATTTGACCTAAGAAAGCACAAAATTATGCAGGTAAATACAAAAATAACAATGGATAAATTTAAAAACTAAAAAAAACAGTGGTCATATTTTATTTGCTATATCTTGCCACAGGCTCTTAGCACTGACAGAGTATTTTTCCTTATTGATTTGCAGATTGAGAGGATCCAGAATCCACATCTCTGGAAAGTCTACCAGACCCAGAAAAAAAACATGGATGAGAAGAATGGTAATACTAAAAATGAGAGGCTGCTCTTCCACGGGACAGACTCTGACTCATTGCCATACATCAACAAAAATGGCTTTAACCGCATTTATGCTGGAAAGAATGGTAAGGAAGCAAGTGATGTGGCTGCTTCAAATGAGGTTCAGCCACAAGAAGCCAAAATGGCTAAGGAACCATGTGGATTGCCCTGTGTTCCCTCGAGGTTCATGGCCATGTGGCAGCCGAAGTGTTCAGACTTACCATGTTTCATCCCAAAGGGACTGACTGGCCCTCTGGGGTAGAGGAATGGTTTTTTAAAATTAAAAACATAGAAAATAAATTTAAAGAGGTGTTAGAGAGAACTGAACATAATATTAACATTATTTGATGTAATGGGTCAATATATCAAATTATGACTAAATTGGAATTCTTAAAAATGTTTTTCTTTTCACAGCTACGGCATATGGAAAGGGAACCTACTTTGCTGTCCATGCCAATTATTCTGCCAATAATGCATACTCCAGACCAGACGCAAATGGTAAAAAGCATATGTATTATGTGCGAGTACTTACTGGATTGTACACACATGGAGATCCGAAATTACTTGTGCCTCCTCCAAAGAATAATCAAAATCTTACTGACCTGTATGACACTGTCACAGATAAGGTGAACAATCCAAGTTTGTTTGTGGTATTTTATGATAACCATACTTACCCAGAGTACCTCATTACTTTTCAATAAAATTTTGGTATCCTTCACAAAAGATGTTATTCATCTCTACCAGTGGATTTTCAACCTTTTTCATCTCATGGCACACATAAACTAATTACCAAAATTTGGTGGAAAACCAAAAAAATATATTTTTTTGCTGATTTGACAAAAGAAGGTGTAATTTTGACTCATTCACACTGGAGGCTATTGTGTTGGCTGTTGTCTTTTTTTTTTTTTTTGACAGTCTAAGGGAAAAGAGGTCAGTGACCCTGACTGAAGTGTCAGGTATTGCATGTTTTCAAAATTCTTGTGGCACACTGGTTGAAAGTTGATGATCTATATACCTGTGTGGTTGTAAAAAAAGTTTTAGATTTTTTTCTCTTAACAGCTTTTTCTAAGATCAAAGGATCCTTGCCACTGAAATCAGACTTTCTACAGCTTCTCTTTTATAACTGGAGTGAATCATTCTTGAAATCAGTGAACTTGAGAATTTAAATTAGGTAACTTAGTTGTAACTTTGTGTCCACAACCATGGACATCAAACCTGCAGAAGAAAACAGGTTTATACTTTCAGGAAGGAGAGAATAACATTAATCTGACAAGCAGAGGGCACAGCTATGCAGTTTCAGCTGCCACTGGAGGAGACAGCTGGTATCACCGTCGGGATGCCACAGTACTGTGGGAAGCAATCTTATTAAGTGGGTTGGACTGCTGTCTTTCCTGGAGGCAGAGAGGGTGTCTTATTCATTTTTTTTTAATCCCTGGTCTGAGGTCTGTGCCTGATGTCCAATGGATGTTCCAGAAATGTTTCATAAGCCAATTAAAAATGAAAAATCCTAGTCAAACTCCTATTCAAGTAGGAAACATTTCTTCAACATGCTTGACTTATTGTCACATTGCCTCAAATTAAACAGGTTCCGTGATAGTGAACTTTGTTTTTCATGAGCTGGCCCATGACATAAGGGCTCCAGTCAGGGGTCTGGGGTTATAGTGCCGCTGCACCCTGCACAGCCCAGGAGCTGTGGTCAGATGACTCGTGCCCCATGGACTTGTGCAGCACATCAGCTGTGGCTCCTGTTAGGTAGGACAGGTAGGAAACTAAGGCAGGGAGGAGGAAGACCACCCCTTGACTCAGCAATCCAGAGCCTGGGCTAAGATTGCCGGGTGCTCCAAACATCACAAGCAGGGATTAGCGCAGGGTGAGGGAAGTTCTTGAGACTGCTGGGAAAGGGAGCTTCTGTAGCAATTTCACTAAGGCGAAGAGCCTTTACTAGCTGAAAAAGCAAGCTTTTGTAGCTGTACATTATTCCCAAGTTTTGGAAGGGAGAGGGGAATCTAGAAGCTGACTAAGGTACATAACCCCTGAACTCAATAGTTGGCACACTCAGATTAGCTGAGTGCCCACTTGTAGCCTCAGCTCATGTGCCCAGAACAAACTTACTGTATTTCCTCTGTACATGGAGCAGACTAGCAGGGTGCCTGCTTGCAGCTTTGTGCTCATGTTTCATTAATAAACTTGCTATGTCATTTCTACTGTACATGTTGTTTCTTGCTTGACTCTGTCTCTTGAGAGTGAGGCAAGAACAGAGAAACAAACTGAGGCGAAGGGTTGGGGGTTGACCTGGTAACAGCTCCAACTGGTCCTTTTCATGCTGAATCCAAACCTGCCTTCTTATAAGTTCTTTTGGTGTTAATTTTGCCCAGTGAAAACAGTAGGATAACAGCCTGCTATGTCTTTAGTGTGAAACCCTCTGCTATGTACAGATTAAATGAATTCCGAGGTTATTAAACGACATATTTTCCTTGGCAGCCTAACTTTTGATGATTTAAAGGTGCACAAATAAACCAAAAGAATTAAACATAATGCTGATTTTCTAACTCAGTATCTGTTGGACAGTAAGAAAGTTTCTTTGTCAATTTCCACAAGTAAATTTCAGATTCAAACACTATTAAGCACTTAGATTTTACCAGATAATATGGGGTAAGCCAAAAAATTCGTTTTTTTTTCCATAAGATGGTTCTAGTAGCACTTAGTTGTCTTTAACTTCATTAAAAGAAATTTTGTTAGATAGTATTATGACAGCTGTCGTGTCAGCATGCATTAAAAAAATCAAAATTAGTGAATTTTTGTGTAGCCATTTTAACATTGAAAATGGAAGAAAACACGCAACATTTCAGTGTGTTATGCTTTATTTCAAGAAAGGTAAAAACACAACTGAAATGTAAAAAAAGATTTGTGTAGTGTATGGAGAAGGTGCTGTGACTGAGTGAATATGTTAAAAGTGGTTTGCAAAGTTTCGTGCTAGAGATTTCTTGCTGGGTGATGTTCCACGGTCAAATAGACCAGTTGGAGTTGACAGCAATCAAATCAAGACATTAATTGAGAACAATCAACATTATACCACGCAGGAGATAGCTGACATACTCAAAATATGCAAATCAATAGTTATTGGTGAAAATGAAAACTTATTTTGCAGAAAAAACTAAAACTTTTTGGCCAACCCAAAAGCATAATAAATTATGCTTTTACATAATTTATTTTATTCCCCCAAAGTCTTGTGAGGTAAGAATTATATCCCCATTTTATTTTTTTATCCCCATTTTAAAGCTGAGGAAACTGATGCTCTGAGCATCCTTGCCTGAGGTCACTGGGGTAATGGCCCTCAGAGCAAGCAACTGAATCTTGGTCCCTTGTGTCACCAAGCCTTTTATTCTACCCACTACAGAACATGACCCCTAATTAATGTTACTAATTCAGGAACATATCAGTCAAATCTGTGACTCCCCTTTGTATTTCCTTCTGGCTTTGTTTCCTATCATAGTTTTCTTTTGAAGATCTGTAGGCTGAGGTCAGAGCTGATGCCCATGCAAAGCCAGTGCAGATGATGCACCCAGGCACTAGGGGTCGCTAGGGGAATAAAGGTGCTCTTCCCAGGCCAAGGGAAACACTACCTGCCCAACTACTAGAGGTGGTAGAGGGCCACAGTTGCTGCGTCAATACAGACATCTTGACATTACTTTTGCTGTTGCTATTTGTTTTTTAAGTGGATTGCCAGAGGCTCCTTATTGCTTAGAAGTGTTCAGCCACTAGTGTGTCCACTTGGGCTTGACAATAAGAGAAACAGAAAAAGAGAGGGCTGTTCTGTAACTTGCTCCTCCTCCAATGGTTAACTTAGGGCAAGGCTGAATATTAGGGTGCACTGAACCAAGGTAAAGTGATCCAGTCAGGAAATGTTGCCTTTTGTTGGGAACAAGGAAATTAAGAACTAAATTTAACCTTAATAGGCAAGAACCACATTGTAGCTAAAAAGAAATGATAGACAGAGTGCAGTTAAGCAAACATCCTGTGTCTAGCAGATGCCCTCCCCTGGGTAGGCTAGATAAGCAATGCTTTGTAGTTTTAATGAGAAAATAAGAACCTAGCTAGCTAGAGCCAGGAGATTACTAGGTTAATGAACAAACATCCTGCCTTCCCGCTTTATGAAAGAATGCTTGGTTTGAAATTCCCGCGCGGTCTTTGTAAGCGAATTGCTAACTGCCACGTCTGCTTCTGTATAACGCTTGCTTGCCCGCCCCTATATAAGAACGTAGTTGTAAGCGCTCGGCGTGGCTCTCGTTTGCAGCTCCTTGTGGGCACTGTGTTGCTGGACACTTTGAGAGTTCACCCCTGCGCAGGTTAAACTTGGCCAATAAAGTAACATCTTTGATACCCTGAAAGTCTCTGATATTTGTTCTCGCATTTGCTGGATGCTACACCTTTAATCTAGAAAAACAGGTCATTCACCTCTTTTGAGTAAAATACTTGGAAAATGTCATTTGGTGGTAAACATCTTTATTATTAGCGGCAAATACAGGAAAGTCTGATGATGAACACAGACTGATAAAAGACTACGGTTAAATAAGACAACATCAAGTGATACTCAGAGTATGAATAATATTTGGCTGAAAATTACAGGAAGGGTACAGTGCAGGTTTAGTTCAGTAAATCTGAAGGGCAAATTGACCCCAGCAAGTAGACCCTGCTGAAACAAGCCCACTTTGAGCCTGTGATAAGGTCTTAGTGGTTTACTCTAGGGCCAGAGATTCTGAAACTTTTTTGGTTTTTAAATCACCTGAGGTATCTGCTGAGACTGCAAATCCCTGTCCTTCCCAAAGGTGTCAGATTCTTTAGCTCTTAGAGGGGTGCCCAGAAACCTGCATTTTCAGCAAGCATCTCCAATGATTCTGAAATCCTGGATTCCCACAGCCACTCAGGACTTTCCTGGGCCCCAGGCCATTTTGCCTTTGTGGGCCTCTTACTCTACAAGAAGTATTAAAAATGTACTTTGTGACTTAGCAATTCCACTGCTAAGATTATATCCTAAGAACCCTGAAACACCAATACAAAAGAACCTGTGCACCCTAATGTTCATAGCAGCACAATTTACAATACAATAGCCAAGTGCTGGAAGCAACCTAGATGCCCATCAGTAAACGAATGGTATGATCAAAAAACTATGGTACATTTACACAATGGAATTCTATGCAGCAGAAAGAAAGAAGGAGCTCCTACCCTTTGCAACAGCATGGATGGAACTGAAAAGCATTATGCTAAGCAAAATAAGCCAGGTGGTGACAGACAAATACCATATGATTTCACCTTTAACAGGAACCTAAACAACAAAACAAACAAACAAACAAAATATAACCAAAGACACTGAAATAGAGAACAGGCTGACAGTGACCAGAGGGGAGAGGGGAGGTAATTTCAGGAGGAAAGGGGAAGGGTTTACAGGAACAAGTATAAAGGAAACGTGGACAAAAACTAGAGGGGGTGGAAATGGGAGGGAGGTGGAGAGGGCTGAGGGGGTGGGCTGGGATGGGAGTAAAAGACAGAAAACTGTACTTGAATAACAGTAACGTAACAACATAACATAAAATAAGGTACTTTGCAATTGCATCGATGCACACATGAATGTAATTGAGGAAGAAACGAAATCGGAAGAAACGAAAACATTTTTTTGGACCACTAAAAGCTCATGGGACCTAGCAGTGTGCCTCCCATATA